GTGTTTAGATCCTTAGTGGTAGAGTTGGCTTTTGAAGGGGAGCTGTTGCCTTGCTGCTTTATGTTTCTGTGTTGAGATTTACACATCCGGGGTTTTTGGTTTGGGGTTCCAGTCCCTTGTGCCCCTGTGGTTGGGGTTTTATGAGGGATTGCGCAGGACTGGGTGGTGGTTTAGCTCTGGTGTGTTTTCTTGTCTCATAATGGAGGGGAGAGTAGTGGCTCAATATCAATGCCTTTAGCTTCTTATTCTCAGGATGTTCCACATGGGGAAAGAAGGCTTAGCTGCTAAAGCTGTCACAGTTATTGAACTGCAGCCTTGAAGTTGCAGTAATCTCTGATGAAGATCAGTTATTGCTACTGTTCCAGTATGTTTGATTTTCTGTTGGAGCAAAGATGAATCTTTGTGGTCCTGGAAGGCCAAAGGTTGTCAGAGTTGTGATGGGACAGAAACAGAGGAAAAGATCTAGTGGGTAATATGAGGTAAAAAGTTTATTTTGTAGGAGGGAGTGGTGACTGAGCTAATATAAGATGTTAATTAAGAGGCAGACTAGACTGCAAAAAACTGAAACTAGATCCATATATATCACCCTATACCAATATTAACTCAAAATGGATCAAGGACCTTAATATCAGACCACAAACTCTTAAGTTGATACAGGAAAGAGTAGGAAATACTCTGGAGTTAGTAGGTATAGGTAAGAACTTTCTCAACGAAACCACAGCAGCACAGCAACTAAGAGATGGCATAGATAAGTGGGACCTCATAAAGCTAAAAAGCTTCTGTTCATCAAAAGAAATGGTCTCTACACTGAAGAGAACACCCACAGAGTGGGAGAAAATATTTGCCAGCTATACATCAGACAAAGGACTGATAACTAGAATATATAGGGAACTTAAAAAACTAAATTCTCCCAAAACTAATGAACCAATAAAGAAATGGGCAAGTGAACTAAACAGAACTTTCTCAAAAGAAGAAATTCAAATGGCCAAAAAACACATGAAAAAATGCTCACCATCTCTAGCAATAAAGGAAATGCAAATTAAAACCGCACTAAGATTCTACCTCACCCTGTTAGAATAGCCATCATTAGCAACACCACCACCAACAGGTGTTGGCGAGGATGCGGGGAAAAAGGAACCCTCTTACACTGTTGGTGGGAATGTAAACTAGTACAACCACTCTGGAAAAAAATTTGGAGGCTACTTAAAAAGCTAAACATTGATCTACCAAAAGACTGTGACACAGGTTACTCCAGAGGCACCTGCACACCCATGTTTATTGTGGCACTATTCACAATAGCCAAGTTATGGAAACAGCCAAGATGCCCCACCACTGACGAATGGATTAAGAAAATGTGGTATCTATACACAATGGAATTTTATGCAGCCATGAAGAAGAACGAAATGTTATCATTCGCTGGTAAATGGATGGAATTAGAGAACATCATTCTGAGTGAGGTTAGCCTGGCCCAAAAGACCAAAAATCTTATGTTCTCCCTCGTATGTGGACATTAGATCAAGGGCAAACACAACAATGAGATTGGACTTTGAGCACATGATAAAAGTGAGAGCACACAAGGGAGGGGTGAGGATAGGTAAGACACCTAAAAAATTAGCTAGCATTTGTTGCCCTTAACGCAGAGAAACTAAAGCAGATACCTTAAAAGCAACTGAGGCCAACAGGAAAAGGGGACCAGGAACTAGAGAAAAGGGTAGATCAAAAAGAATTAACCTAGAAGGTAACACACACGCACAGGATATTAATGTGAGTCAACTCCCTGTATAGCTATCCTTATCTCAACCAGCAAAAACCCTTGTTCCTTCCTATTATTGCTTATACTCTCTCTTCAACAAAATTAGAGATAAGGGCAAAATAATTTCTGCTGGGTATTGAGGGGGAAGGGGGGAGAGGGAGGGGCAGAGTGGGTGGTAAGGGAGGGGGTGGGGGCAGGGGGGAGAAATGACCCAAGCCTTGTATGCACATATGAATAATAAAAAAAAAAAAAAAAGAAAAAAAAAGAGGCAGACTAGATGTGTAGAAGAGATAATGTAGGTAATAAAATAGGGGAGAAATGGGAGGAGAACTCCATGGAACTGAAAAAAAAATTTTGGGAATCCCTTTATCAAAATTATTGATAGTGAAGGAGAATTGTGGGAGGGTAGACAAAGAGGAAGGAAATTGACAGCTAGGGAGTATGGTGGTTGACAAGTAGAAAGTATGAATTGGGGAGGGTGGTAGAAAGGGGAGGAGAAGAGATGGTTTAGGATTGTACACTTAAAGGTGGTTTATGTGGGTCTTGTGAGTGCCTTCAGTGAGGGTAGGGAGGGAGGTAAGGCAAAAGAGGGAATTGGGGAGCAAGAAGGCAAAACCACTGTTGGAATGTATATAAAAAAGAAAAAAAAACAGCTGAAAGTAAGAGAGTGAAAGAGTTACATCACAGTTTTGGCAGCATTGGGCAAAACTTCTGTGTGAAAATTGCAAGTTATCTATTGCTGTTGCTCTTCCCCCACCCCTCTGTGTCTAGTCTTTCAGTCCACTAGAAGGCTAGCTAAATTTGATACCTGCCTCTGGGTTGGCATCTGGTTGTAGAGCGAGGGGTATTTGCAGATCTAACTCTTTGGAGTTTGTACTGATCACTGGCCTGCCTCAACTAATTCACACCCCTTCCTATCTCTCAAGGTCCCCAGAACTTACAGACTATAGTTATGCACCAAGCGCAGGGTTTTGTTCAGATGTCTTTCAGCCTCTGGTAGGGTTGAAGGCGCAGCTCCCTGGTAGTAGTGCTGCCATATTGTGACCTGTTTTCTGTGACCTCTGTGGGCTGTTGCTGGGTTCCAGTAAATTTTCCCTATTGGGTACCTGTTTCTTGGCAGGCCTTCTGCTGGTGCTCTCACAAGCTCAAATGGGGGTCTCTCCAGCAGCAGTGGGAATTGAGTTGTTGGGCTTCAGGTGGGTGGGGAGGATGCTTGCCCTCTAGGGAAGTTTGCTGCAGCTCCAGAGAGGGCTTTTGTTCCAGCATGCAGCACTGACTGGCTCAACTTCTGCTTACCAGGCCCTCAGCAAATGGCCCACTGGGTGCCTTTGTTGTTTGTGTACTGACGTTCTACATGCAGTTCTTTTTTTTTTTTTTTTTTTGTGCAGTACTGGGACTTGAACTCAGGTCCTTCACCTTGAGCCACTGTACCAGCCCAGTTTTTTGTGATAGGGTTTTTCAAGATAAGGTCTCGCAAACTATTTGCGAGAGTGTTGATTTTTAATTAATTAAACATTTGTGGTTGATCTGATAATATGCACAAACATTTCATTAATTTTTTTTCATAATTTCTTATGGGGTTGAGTGTAATTTTAAATGTCTAATGGTATATTTTTTCAAAACTATTTATTTAAAATTTATTTCTTACTGTTTTCTGAGTTTGAGCCCACTGTTACTTGTGCTATAGATTTCTTTTTCCAGTCAGTCTTAGTTTAACTTTTAAAAAAATTGTCTTGCTATACAAATATTTTTTAGTGTTAATCTCTCAATCTGGTGGTGAATTTAAAGAATATTTCTTAGTAACATACTACGTATATCTGTCTTCTGTCTCTTTTGAGTAATTTTGTTGTATTTTGATAATCCTTTATTGATAATCCTATGCTCTTGGACCCTTTGTATATCTTTCTATAAGCCCATGGTTGTGTGACTAGGATATTGCTAGTTAAACTATAGAAGTCCAAACTTTGTGTGGTACTTAGAAGCCTTCTTCAGTTTCTGTTCACTTTTATGCATGACAAATTATACTGTCATTTTTCTTAATAACTTTGTGGGGTTAGAGTATACTTAATTTTTTTTTTGTAGCAGCTTATTTTCCTAAATGTCTAAATTGAAGGATAAATCTATTTGTGTGCTTTTTGTGTGTGTGTGTGTGACACTAAGGAATCATTGACAGATGTGAATTAACACAGGGGAAAAGGATTGAAGTTGGCCTTAGTCCACACACACATCTGTGTACTGATGTCCACAATACCATTCATAGTAGCCAAGAAGTACATCTATTGAAAAATGGATACAGAAAGTTTAGGCTGTTCATGTAGTAGAATAATATTTGGCAAGAAAAAGGAATGAATTTATGTTAAGTAAAAGGACTTAGTCCTCCAAACCCTATCATGTAAATAAAATTCTATTTATACTAAATGCCCAGAGTATGTAAGTCCCTAAAGATAGAAGGGGGGGCCATTACTAGGGTTGAACTCGGGGCCTTGTACTTGCTAGGTAGGCTTTCTGCCACTTGAACCATGCTCCTAACCCTAGAAATGGAAAAGTAGATCAGTGATTGCAAGGGGGTGAGGTTGGGTGGGAAGTGACTGCTAATGAGTTTGGGTTTCTTTCAGGATGATAAAAATGTTTTAAAACTGTTAGTGGTAGTGGTTATACAACTCTGAATATACTAAAAAACCAATGAGTTATAAAAAAGGGATGTATTTTAGAGTATAAATTATATCTCAAAGTTATTATAGAAATTAGTCTCAAGCCAGGTGCCAGTGGCTCACGCCTGTAATCCTGCCTATTCAGGAGGCTGAGATAAGGAGGATCGGTGTTCAAAGCCAGCCTTGGGCAGATAGTTTACAAGACTCTATCTCAAAAAAAATACCATCACAAAAGAAAGGGCTGGTGGAGTGGCTCAAGCAGTAAGAGCACCTGTCTAGCAAGCATGAGGCCCTGAGTTCAAACACAGGTGCCACAAAAAATTAGACTCAGATAATGCTTATGTGCATAATAAAAATTTCAGTGTAAGAGTGGCAGATGAAAATAAGTTGACAGAAACTCTTCAGTTTTTTTTAATAATATAAGAGGAAAGGGTGGTATGATCTGCAAGGAAGGGAAAGGTCAACCTGAATTTGCTTTCCTAGAAAGTTGACAAATTAACATCATATAGTTGTATGCTCTGAAAGTTAAATTATGTTGAATGAATAGAGTAATGTTCTTTGATAAATGTTTTTGATTCATAATTTCTTTAAATTAGGTCAGTCTTATGAAATTCGGATGCTGGATAATCGGAAAATGGGAGATATGCCTGAGATCAGTGGAAAATTAGTAAAGGTAAGAGCAGTCTATTTTAGTCCTTAACAGATACTGCAATGATTGGATAAAGTGACAGTTCTACTGCAAGCGTTTTTGTTAAAAATTTTGATATTTCAGCCAGGTACTAGTGGCTTAAGCCTGTAATACTAGCTGTTTGGAAGGCTGAGATTTGGAGGATCATGGTTTGAGTCCAGCCCAGACAAATAGTTCAGGACACCCATCTCCAAAATAACCAAAATAAAATGGACTTGAGGTGTGGTTCAAGTGGTAGAGCTCCTGTTTTGCAAACGTGAAGCCTTGAGGTCAAACCCCAGTTCCACAAACAAACAAAAAAAGAAATTAACATTTTTTTTAAGGGCTGTGGAGTGGCTCAAAGTGGTAGAGTGCCTGCCTAACAAATGTGAGGTCCTGAGTTCAAACCCCAGTCCTGTCAAAAACATTTTTTTAAAATTTCCTTTAGGAAGTAATGACTATATTGAAACTTTAAACTTTTCTGAGCCATATTTTGTTTATGTGTAAAATGGAAATTGCAGTTGTTACTGGGAACCAAGTTACAAGTTACAGGAGAACAAAACTCTTCACAACAAAAAGTATAAACTCCTCTCCAAAAGTAGAAGACAATGTGAGGGGAAATGTAAATGTTAACCTAAAACTTTAAAAATCCATGGGGTGACGAAATGGCTAGAGTGCCTGCCTAGCAAGCGTGAGGCCCTAAGTTCAAACCCCAGTATGGAAAAAAAAAAACCCAAAAACCCACACAACTTACTCCTTAAAATTTCATTAAATGTAACTTGAAATGTTTACCCTAGTGATGGATCTGAATGAGGAAATCAGTCACCCCAGGTTTAGGAAGCATAGCCATTGTCCAGCCTTTAAAGATAATTTCTTCAGAACCATCCTTGCCCTCCCCAGGGTTATGCATGGCAGGTTCTTCTACCATTCGCCTCTCATGCACTGGGCTAGTTATAAAATCCATAGCATTATAGGGCAAAGTTCATGGAAGAAGCTCATTTGGGGAAAGGTAAAACTTCAAATGTCAGCAAGAGTCCAGCAAGCATAATTCTCTTGATCTACTTATTCATCTTCCCACAGAATGGCATATCATGGCCCTGGTGTTGCTGGGCCCTCAGTATAGAGAGGTATTCCATCTTTTTGAGGAAAAGGCGGCCATGTGGCGGGTATGGGTACTTGGACTGCTTTGTGATCAAGGCAGTTTGAATTTGCCATGCTAACTGGGACAGAGCTGCTTGCACCTAGAGACCTAAGATGAGAGCCTTTGGGGTACCACAGTGCCCCTGTCACTCCTGGGGGTAGGAAATTCCAATCCTACAGAAGGTTGAGCCTAGATATTTCCCTGCTCTATAAGGAAGAAATAGGGGATCTGGTCCCTGCTGGATGGTTGTCCTGACAACTCAGACTTAGCTCCCAGATTTCCCCTTCAAACTGTTGGGGCTTATAACTTGGAAGAGCAGGAGAAAGTTTATGTGCCCATTCCCACAGTTAGTATCTGCATTTTGAGTCTGTTTTTATATGCCCAATCGGGTTGGTCATTCCCATAAGGAATGAGTTCGATTTTTTTTTCCCCTTTGGCATTCTGGCTTGTAGAAAACAGCAATTAGAGCCACTTTTTTTTTTTTTTTTTGGCAGTGCTGGGGTTTGAACTCAGAGCCTACTACACACCTTGAGCCATTCCACCACCCTTTTTTGTGAAGAGGTTTTATTTTTCAAGATAGGGTCTTGCAAACTATCTGCCTGGGCTGGCTTCGAATCTTGATCCTCGTGATCTCTGCTCATGAGTAGCTAGGATTATAGGCATGACCCACTGGTGCCTGGCTAGATCCACTGTTTTAAAAAGGCCATCAGTGTTCACAGTAAGCAGCCCTACTCCCTGCCTGTATTTTACTTTACTCAAATGATACCTATTCATGGGTTTATCAAGGAGCCAAACTAACAGCTCTCCAGTCCCAGTACCTAGGAAGCTTAGAAATGTTGGGGATTCTCTCAGCATCCTCTTTTTCTAGCTGGATAGTTGCCTCCTAGGTCACCTTTGGGTAAATTTGCCAGTTGTATTACTTACTCGTTAAAATTAAATTGAAGTTTTTCTGCCTCTTCCTCCTTTTCCTGCTATCCTTGCCTCTCCTCCCTCCCCCAGTAATATATGTATATATACATATTTATATATGTTAAAGGAGAGAAGTGGGTGTATTCTTCTGCCAGTGTGAAAGTTAAATTTGATTATTGTAACATGCTGGTTTTCTTTTTAATACCTGTGTGAAAGGGTTGGAAAATAGTTAAAATTGTATATTCTGTAATAAAATTGAATAGGACTTGATGAATCCTGTGTTGAGGTCTTTAAAACTGGGTATCTAAAAAATGGTAGAACAATTTTTAATCTTACCATGGCAAATTGTGAATACCCATAAGTAGAGACAATGGTATAATGAATGTATCTGTCATTTGCTAGTCTATGAAAAATACAGTATCATGAGTTCTCGTGGTAAGTTCTCTTCTCAACCTAATCAACAATTTGCCATTCAGTGAGACTTAGTGCTTAAAATACTTTTGAAAAACTAGTTAGAATGTCAGTCAGATTAACTTGGGATGTCAGGGTTAATCAGTTAATTTGTTGAACTTCCTTAGACTTACTTCCATATTAAAACATGTAAATTGCTGGGTGTGGTGGTACACTCAGAGGATGAGGCAGAAGGATTGTGAATTTGAGATTAGTCTTGGCTATAAAGCCAGATTCTTTTCTCAACAAAACAAAACAAAACAAAAAGTAGAAACAACTAATACACATGATTAATGAAGAAATAAAGACATAGTGACATTTCATCATGAGATAATGAGCTGTTGATATAGAGAAACCATCCAGCTACAAGTGCACAGTGAAAGTTTTGCTGACATCACAGCATACATAAACATTTAGCCCACTGATTGAAAAGGGTTAATTTGAAAAGGCTTTTTTGTTGTTGTTGCTGTTGTTGATGGTACTGGGGTTTAGAACTCAGGGCTTTGTGCTTGCTAGGCAGCCACTCTACCACTTGAGCCACACCTCCAGTCCTGAAAAAGCTTTTACTTCCAGCCCATCTTCTATTTGATAAACCACGTTTGATTTTTGTGAGGTGTGCCAGGATACATCCAGTTATGTCCTGAGAGCTTACCTAAGATTCAGAACTGCTGCGTCTTTTACTACTAAGAACTATAGTATGAATTTCCTGGAATCCACTTCCTTCTATAGTCTTTTGGAGTTTTATTTTCTGGCCCTGTGATCTTCAGTTATACTACTTAAATTTGGGGTACTCTTGGGAATCCAATGGTATGTTGTCAAAGGTACTTTGGAACTTTTTCCTGAACATATTTAGTAATCTGCTTTTTTCTACTTGTGTTTAGATTTGTTTGTTTGTTTTGGTGTGACTTGGGATGAACTCAGGGCTTTATACTTAGAAAGCATGCACTCTACCACTTGAGCCACATCTCCAGTCTGTTTTGCTCTGGTTATTTTTGGAAATAGGTTCTTGGAACTGTTTGCCTGGGTTGGCCTCGAACAGTGATCCTCATGATCTCAGCCTTCCAAGTAGCTAGGATTACAGGTGTAAGCTACTGGCGCCTTTGTGACAGGGTCTTACTTTGTAGCCAGACTGACCTCAGACTTGTTATGCATCCCAAACTGACTTCAAACTTGTGGTTCCCTGGCGTTAGCCTCCTGAGTACTAAGTGTGCACCACCAGGTCTGGCTCTACTTGCTTTTTGTCTTATTAGTTGGGCCCCTTCATCTATTGCTAGTTTTGTAAGTATAACTAGTCTCCTGTTAGACCCAACTTGCAGCTAACAATTTTCTCTCTTTCAGCTTCATTTAAAATTTCTTTTCTTTCTCTTTTCTTTGGTGCTACTGGGGTTTGAACTCAGGGCCTTACACCCTTAGCCATTTTTGCTTTGGTTATTTTTGTTATAGGGTCTCTGGTTTATGCCCAGGCAGGCCTGAATATGATCTATTTATGCTTTCCGCATAGCTGGGATGACAGGTGCCCACCATTACTCCCAGTTTTTTCTGTTAAGGTGGAAGTGTCTTGGACTTTTTTGCCTGTGCTGGTCTTCAACCTTGATCCTCCCAATCTCCATCTCCCAAATAGCTAGGATTATAAGTGTGAGCCACCTGGTTAATAGACAGACATTGTGTTTTCTTAACTTTGGCCGCTCTTTTCATTGCCTTACTATCTTAGCCTTTTTGTAATAGGACTTAGTAAAACTGGTAAGTCTGTTTATATTCCTATATTATTTTCACCTTAATGTGTGAATTTAGTCAGGTTACTGAACATAGAAGAATCAAAATTAGGACATTTTCTGTGTGCTTTCTTCTGAGAGAAACTAGCTTTCAAGCCCATGCACCATCACAAAGGGGTTTGTTGCTTGCCATTGTGAAGTGGTTGCTGGTGGATATCTAGGCAGGCTCCACAGTGATGGTACCCATCACTTTTAAATGGTTTCCTGCTATGTTTTGGATAGTATTTAAAGCGTGGGGAAAGCAGAGGTACTAGAGTATCTATATGTATGGCTAACAAATGATTTCCTTTTCAAACCAGTAATGTCTATGAAAATATAATTATCCTATTGCATAATAGTCTTAGAAAGTTACTTACGTGTCAGAAACATTAATTGGTTAAAATCTGGTGTCTGGATGCAGTTTGATCACTTATCACTCTGTTCTTAGAATGAAATAGTAGTTGTTGTCCCAAACTTATGGGAGCTTAAAGAGGCATGGATGAAGAATGTAGAATTGCCCTAGAGTTTGGGCAGTAGATTAAAAGCCTTCCCTAGGAATTTGAGTGTTGAGGTAAAACTTTTCTGTGTTGTTTTTGTTTTTTTGTTTTTTTTTTTTTAATTTGCTCACTTTAGATAATCTCACTTGCAAGTTAGAGAGTTAAGAATATATTTAGGTTTCCTTTTAGGGAAAATGGATGGGTGTGCGTGTTTGCCAATTGGCTGATAGAATGTTTTTAAAAAATTCAATGATTAGTATTATTTTGTTGTTATTTTTGAGATCAGGGTCTTGTTATACAGCCCAGACTGGACAAACTTCAGATTCTCCTGCCTCAGCCTCCTGAATACTGGAATTACACACACTATGCATTACTGCTTTAAATCAACACAGTTTTACCAGTTTGCCTGAGGAATCTCTGTCTCTTTATAATACCTTTTCACTTTCATAATTCTGTGTGCTTCTGGCACTTTCTTCATAGAAGTATAATTCTTGCTCACTGGTTTTATATGCATGTACCTTGATGTTGAATTACAATATCAAATTCTTGTATAAAATTTATACCTAAGTAACCATCTTACTTGTGTTTTGCATTAAATAAGGGTATCATAATTCAGTTGTCCAAGAGCAGAAAAGTTCACAGATGGACTGTTTAAAACAGAATCTGTTTTTGTGTGCTCATCTGCTATAAGTTACTACATCAGAAGTGAAAATGCTTCTGCATTTTAGTTGGAGTGATTCAAATGTACTCATTTTCCCCACTTGTTCCATAGAGCATCATAAGGGTTGTATTCCATGACAGACGGCTACAGTATACAGAGCATCAACAACTTGAAGGTTGGAAGTGGAATCGCCCAGGAGACAGACTTCTTGATTTAGGTACAGGTAGTGGTCAAAAGACCATGGAAATGGTGGCAATTTTTAGCTCTGCCTGTTAGTGTTTTGGTACCACATGCTACTAATTATATGGGAAAAGTTTTGGTGTTAGTAGATCCCATGCCTTGAGAATTGTTTTATGGTTAAAAAGTGAAGTAGCTTTTTGGTGCTAAACTAACCTAAGCAAGGAATTTTATGATTTTGAAACTATTTACTCTTCAGTTGGCACCATTCATCACTTTTGGTGGGAGGGCGGCACTGGAGTTTGAACTCAGGACTTCACACTTGCTAGGCAGGCACTCTTAATGCTTGAGCCACTCTGTCAAGCCCCATCGCATTCTTAATAAAATGAGATACAAATGGTGGGAGAAACTGTGATTCTCATTAGCTGGATTTTGATATTGAAGATAAGGTTGACTATGGAGAACACTGAAGGAAGAGTTCAACATGCGTGTAATTATTTTTTTAGAATACTAAGTTGTAAGTGTTTTTGTGTTTTGGGCTTTTTTTTTTTTTTTAAGCTGAGGTCTTGCTATGCTGCTGAGACTGATCTTGAACTCTTGGGCTCAAAACATCCCTCAGCTTCAGCCTCCCAAGTAACTGGAGCTACAGGCATGTGCCACCATACTTGCCTAAGTTACAACTTTTTAAATTAAGGTGGACACATTTTTATTTAACTTCTTTTTCAACATACAGATATTCCAATGTCTGTGGGAATTATTGACACAAGAACAAATCCAAGCCAGTTAAATGCTGTGGAATTTCTGTGGGACCCTGCAAAACGCACATCTGCTTTCATTCAGGTTTGACTTTTTATATTATTAGAAGCATACTGACCCAGTCATTTAGAAGGTAATGGTGAGATTCAATTCTTGACTTAAGGAAGCATTTTTTAAAAATCCTTACTTATAAAATGTCTTGTAACGTCTCTTTTTTTTTTTAGCATATGCTGTCAAAATTGGTTTGTTCTAATAAATTTATCGTTATAGTCATATGAAGACTGGTAATGCAAAGCATTGTTCAGAGTCAGTTTTTATTATTGCTAGCCAATCACAATAATTGAAATTTCTGTTTTTCATAAGATGTATGCTTCATGTATATCTCTTGAACAGAACTTGCCCTTTAAAATATGACTGGAAAAAGTTTGAGGTTGTTTTTTTTTTTGGGTGGTACAAAGGCTTGAACTCAGGGCCTCACATTTGCTAGACATGTGCTCTACTGCTTGAGCTACTCTGCCAGACCCAAAGTTTGAGGTTTTAATATCGGCCTAGCATTATTTAAAACTTTTTTTTTTTTTTTTTGGTAGTATTGGGTTTTGAACTCAGGGCCTCACTGCTTGCTAGGCAGGCACTCTACTAGTTGAACCATGCTTTGCTTTGCTTTGCTTTTTTTAGGTTGGGTTTTGCTTTTGCCCAGGGCCAGCCTTGGACTGTGATGCTCCTACCTAGGGCCTCCTGAGTAGCTGGGCTCACCACCCCACACCACCATACCCAGCTTGTTGATTGAGATAGGTATCTCTGTAACTTTTAGCCTGGAATGGCTTCCAACCTCAGTCCTCCCAAGTAGCTAGGATTATAGGTGTTAGTCACTATACCCACCCCTTAAACATTCTGATGCTGAAATTTCCAAGTCTCCACACATAGAATAATAATAATGTCCATATATCTATCACCTGGCTTTAATAGTTGTTAGCTTCCCCCTTTTTAGTTACTGTTGGCATACTTTAAAATAAAAACTTTTGTTATTTGTTTATTAAAATAGTAATTCTAATATCTACTGTGTAGAAATGTGTAAGTGGTAAAATTTAAACTACTGTGTAGGTAATCTTTATATAAAAAGGGAAAACCACTTGATTGCTGACCTGCTTTAAGTAGGCTATGATATGCATCAACTATTAAAAAAAGTCACTGTATTCTGCATTTTGGTGGTCTACCAAATATTCCCTATCAGCTAATAGTCACTGGGGACATAGTTCATAGTAGTCAAATTTTTTCTTCTGCTGTTAGTGTTTGTCTACCACATAACTGGTTGTGGTGAACAAGAGTGAAAATAAGACCTAGCCTTAACTCTCAGGTTGCGCAGTCACATTGCAGAGGTCAGTTTTCATATTGCTAGTCATTCAAAATGTGTAGTCATAGCACTTAGAAACGGTTGTTTCTGCCATATAGACCATTAACTCTATCTGGTACCTTAAGGTTGTTTTCCTGTGGTGCTTATTCAGGAGGGAGTAGAAAGGTGAATGTTGCCCTCAGGATCCTGAATAGACTTTGAAGGATTGGCCTAGAGTTTAGAGCAGGGGGTAGGTAGGACAGATAATGGGCGTTTAGGACTGTGGAAGTTCTCCAGGCAAAGCATCACAAACTGGTGTGTGTGCAGAAGCAGCAGCAGGATGATTAGTTGTGTAATACAGGCTTAATAACAGTAGAGGCCAAATAACAGACTGCTCTCAAAATGAACACTGCTGTGGATGGAGTAGAGCTTAGGACTCTTGAGTCTGAGAGTAGCATATTGTCCAGGGTGTACAGGTGACATGCATAGGAAGCTACTTTATTCTTGTTTTCCTAATTGGCCCAGTTCCTTCATTGAAGAAGAGGCATTATAAAATGGGGATGAGCTCTTTTATCAGCATGTCCAAAAACACATGGTTGGATTTTTTAAGAGAAAGCTATATATTAAAAACAGTTCAGAAAGCTAGGTGCAGTGGCTCATACCTGTAATCCTAGCTACTTGGGAGGTGGGGATTGGGTGGATCTGCTGTTCAAAACCAGTTTGGGTAAAAATTTTGAGAGACCCCATCTCAACCATAAAAAGCTGGGTTGGTGGCATGTGTCTGTCATCCCAGTTATATCCAGAAGCATCAGTAGGATTGGGGTCCAGGCTGGCCTGAGCTTAAATACAAGACTATTTGAAAAGTAGCAAAAAATTTAAAAAGGGCTGGGGCATGGTTTGAGTGGTAAAATGCCTACCTAGTAAGCATAAGGCCCTGAGTTGAAATCTCAGTGGTGCCCAAGGGTGGGGAAAGAAACAAAACAGAAAATTCATAAGATAATTTGACTAATATATAGGCATCTCTTTTAAAGGATCCTGAATGTATGTGTAGTGGTCACAGTATATCCAGGAGGAAACAAAATAAAAAGATACTCAGTAGACAGTACTTTGAGTCCATTTCACCTCAAGTTGTTTTATAGGTACACTGCATCAGCACAGAATTTACTCCACGGAAGCATGGAGGTGAAAAGGGAGTGCCTTTTAGGATCCAGGTTGACACCTTTAAGCAGAATGAAAATGGGGAATACACAGATCATCTTCACTCAGCTAGCTGCCAAATCAAAGTTTTTAAGGTAAGAGGTGGAAACCAGGCTGCCAGTAATTAAGACTGTTCCATGTGTAAAGCTGTTTGCAGCCTGGTGAATAAAATCATCTATTTTATTTTAAGCCTAAAGGTGCAGATAGGAAACAAAAAACTGATCGAGAAAAGATGGAGAAGAGGACAGCACATGAAAAAGAAAAGTATCAGCCGTCCTATGATACCACAATCCTCACAGAGGTAAAGTGATATGTGGCATTTGCTTTTGCCAGAGAAGCAGAGGTTTGCATATTAGCACTACCTCTCAGATGAATTTCACAACTGGGGGGTTGGGAAGATTGGGTGGTAGATTGATGTTAATTCTTTGAAAATTTTGTGGGGAAATATTCAAATTTTGGGATATTTATGAGTTAGTTTCTTGGGTGGGATCTTGAATGCAGATGCTGAAATCCCAATCAGGTCTCAGAACTAGACCTTAAAACCTTGAAGTTGGCAAGAGATTTAAGTTGGGGTCTAGAATGTCCAATTTTTGTCACTGCTGGGGTTTTATATTTCCTTTAACTTTGAATCCTGTTGGTCATGCATTTGTTTAATTAGACTGCAGAGACATGAAGCAGGGTATTAGATCTTTCTTTGTATAATGAAAAGACATTGATCCCAATCTTTGGTGTTTGTCCAGATGAGGCTTGAGCCTATAATTGAAGATGCAGTTGAACATGAGCAGAAAAAGTCCAGCAAGCGGACTTTGCCAGCAGACTACGGTGATTCTCTGGCAAAGCGAGGCAGTGTAAGGGGCTTCTGCTTCTCTTTTCATTGTGCAAGAACCCTTGTGCAGTGTTAGATATAGGACCAGCTTCCACGGAAAAGTAAAGCCAAAATTGTTTTTGATGTCCTTGTCTTGATTTAATTTGCTTTTGTTTAGATTTCCTGCTTTCTGTTTGTTCCTCACTGAGGAAATTTCCTAAATCTAACACTTTAAAACAAAGCAAAAACATTGTTGACAATATTGGGTGGTTTTGGAGGGAAAGAAAAAACACTACTAGAGATATGTGTTCCTTCCCTGTCCCCTTGCCTCCTTCCTTTTCCCCTCCCTTCCTCTTTCTCCTTTACATACACAACTGCTTCATGAGCACTGGATTTAATTGGAAATACTTTATTAAAATATTTTAAATAGTTATTTTCATATAAGTAAAAAAGGTTTTGCTTTTTTGTGTGTATTTCTGGTAAGAAAATTTTGTGGATACTTAAATGATGGCAAGTTAACATTGACATGTGCAACACTATCACATTTCCCTGCATGCAGTATATGGATGTGTGTCTGTCTGTGCTTTTAAAAGCCTCTGTGGCAGCACTGGTAGAAAGACATCTTTGACTACATAGTATTTCCTCTTGGCACCTGCTTTGTGATGTAATGCTTCAGGCCAAGGTAGTATACATCGATGCGCTTAGTCCTGGGATATCCGAACATGTAATCTGAGGGCTTTTGGTTGAGTATGAGCTTTGTCAGGTTAAGTGTAGAAATCTTCATTTCATGACACAACTCTTCATGTAAAAACAGTCCACAAAGGATTATTCTGTTATTCAACTATACCCACAATAAATATGAACAGAAGGTATTAAAAAGAATTTTAAAAATAACTAGTATTGTGTATTAAGGAAGACTCTCTTCATTGTTGTGTTAGCAGTATTAAGGTTCCAAATATGGATTTTTCACTCGTTTGTATATCTGTGATTAAGTGTAGATTTTCAAAGTCACTGTCATAAGCACTATCACAAGAACCTCATATCCAAATTAAAGCATTGAGTAAAAATGTTTTAAGTGCTTCTTTATATAGCACTGCAAAAATGCTCATCCTAGTTCCAAAGGGAGCATGAAAGTTCATTTGAGCCTTTTTGATTTAAATCAAAGGTGGTCAGAATCATTGAATACTCCTTTCCCCAAATGCCTACCATTCCAATTTATTGCTTTTGTCTTCTCTTTTCCTACCTGAAGACCCACAAGTAGTCTTAGCCAATTTCTTTGAGGTGACCTTGTAACTCAAATCACTTTTCCCTGCCTGTTACAAACAGTTTAGCTATTGAAAGGAATGGGTTCTGGTTAATTCATACATAAATCTATTGTGTGTTGTAACTAATCTGAAGATAAGAAAATTGGTAAATTCTTAAGAGGTTCTTAACTCAAGTCTAAGCTATGCAAAGCGTCAGCAGTTCACTGGCCTTGTTTGTCCAGTATGTTGCTTCCTGCCTAGTGTGTTGCTGCATTTGGTGTGGGTATGATGCTTCAGGAGGTGGTTAGAGTTCATCTGGGAAACCTGTTTTTAAAAAAGCAGGGTGCTTTTAAAAGAGAGAGTCTACAGTATTTTGTGTATTTCTTCAAATGCCTACATAGGAAGGCCAAAATTGCTTACAGTTTTTAGGAAGTTATAATTGACTTTCAATAAAAAAGATTATCCCTACTTAAAATGGAAATGGTGCTAGATAAAATGGTCTCACACTGAATAGTCACCCCTGTTGGTTCCCAGGAGATGTTCACAACAAAACCCTTCATGTCAGTTTCACCAAAAAAAAAAACCCAAAAATCCATTCATGTGTTCATGTGTGTCTGTTGATCTTTTATCTGCTTACATCAGGGCTGCCAATTTTTATAGCATACAATGAGTGTCATTCTGTAAAATTCTTAGGGAGATGGCCCTGTTCAGAGTATACTGAAACTATGACTATACAAGTCCAGGTCATTGTTAAAGCCCCTGTGCAGTACAGATTGTCTTCAGGAACATACATGCCACAACCAGTGCCTGGCTTTTTTTTTTTTTTTCAGTACTGGAGTTTGAACTCAGGGTCTTGTACTTCCCAGGCAAGTGCTCTACTACCTTAGCTACACTGTTAGCCCAACCACTGCTTGCTTTTAACAGCACTAGACTGGGCTTGGGAAGTAGCTCTGTGATAGAATACTTGCATCTAGCATGCACAAGGCCCTGGGTTCAGTCCCCAGCACAGTAAAGCAAACAAAAGCAAAAAACCCACCAAAACAAACTATTCTTGTACTGCTAAAAGCATCTGTGTAAAAGTGAAGTAGGTGTATATGGAGTGTGAATAATCTTGCTATTGCTACCTTCCTCTGCCATACTAATTTGAAGTGTTTTGATGGCTTCGTTTCCTTAAAACAGCTGGAAGTAATTGCCAAAGCAAATTTTTAATACTAAAATATTTATGTTACTTAGATGTGCATGTTAACACTGTGTTGCAGTATTTTGTATTGGGTGAGGAGGATGTTGTAGTAGGAAATTCTGAGTAGTAGAGGTAACAGTGAACATGTGACACCTATGAGTGATTAGATAGGCTAGTCAGCTCACAGAGTCTTGAGTACTTCATATTGTAAGCTGAGGACATGATGCTTAGTCAGATGAAAAGAAAAAGGCCCTGAATTTACTTTCTTGTTTTATTTTGATGTTTGGTGTTTGAGTTTTGTTTTTTTGTTTGTTTTTTTTTTTTGAGATAGGGTCTCACTATGTGACCTGGGCTCATCTTGAACTCATTATGTAGCCCAGGTGGGCCTAGAACTCGGGATCCTTCTGTCTCAGCCTACAAGTTGGGATTCAGGTGTGCAGCACCACACCCAGCTTAAAGGCCCTAGTTTTAAAAGAATAGGCATTGTTCTATCAAACATCGTTTATAGAGAAATGGGTATACCAGGCAATGAATTTATCAGAGACGGCCACCAAATTAGATTTGTTTTGAAAGTTGATAGTTCAAACAGTGTCTGTAGTTGTTTTTACCATTTTTGATGGAATGCATAATTAGTTGTAAAGAATTTTGGTTCCGTTTTTCTTTTAACTTTTTTTTTGAGGTGTTAAGCTCAGGCCTCGAGCTTGCTAGGCAGATATTCTTACCACTTGAACCATACCTCCAGACCTTTTTGTTTTGGTTATTTTGAGATAGGGTCTTGCTTTGTGCACATATCAGACTGGACCTTGATCCTCTTATTTATGCTTCTCTTGTAGCTGGAATAACAGGAATGTACCACCAGGCCCAGCTTTTTTATTGGTTGAGATAGGGTCTTGAACTTTTGGCCCAGGCTGGCCTCAAACTGACATCCTCCTTAGCTCCGCCTCCTTAGTAGCTAGGATTACAGATTTGAGCCACCTTACCTGTCTGGTTCCTGTATTTCTATTCATTTTTCTGTATCCATGCTTTTGATGAGTGTAAGACATGAAGTGGAAGCCTTCATGGTGAGACTTGATTTCTATCCTGAGTACTTCACAGTTTCTTAGCTTCTTCATACTAGTAGTCTTGACCCTTTTCTATTCCGAAGACTTTTGAAAAAGGATATACTCCCTTGCACATTTTCAAGTGATGTCTAAAGTTTTCATGGTAAGTTTGAACAGCTGCAAAATTTTCTGGCATGAATATTCATATTTATAACTTAAGATAAAACTAGCTTGGAGCATGACTCAAATGGTAGAGAGCCTGCCTAGCAAGCACAAGTCCCTGAGTTCATACCCCAATACGACAACAACAAAAAAAAGGGGGGATGAAACTATTATTTTACTCTTTAAAGTACTTCCAGTGAATTCTAAATGTCATAAAAAATTTAAAATTTCATGATCATTAATTAAATCCATAACTTTGCTCTTCCTTCTTGGTCTTCATTTGCATTCCACTTCCCTTAAACATTATCCTAATGTGACATACTTTTATGCCTGAAAATCTTTTAGTGATGGCCCTAATTACTTTTATACAATTTTATTTATTTTTGGTGATACCAGGGGGTTGAACTCAGAACCATGCACATGCTAGGCAGATGCTCTACCACTTGAGCCAGACCCCCAGCCATTGTTGCTTTAGTTATTTTTAGGATAGGATCTTGCATTTATGCCAGTCCAGCCTGAACCACAATCCTCCTGTTTTATGCCTCCCTCATAGCTGGCATGACAGGCAAATGTACCACCGTGCCCAACTGATGGTTGAGATGAGATCTCACTAACTTTTTGCCGTGGCTGGCCTCCAAACTGCAGTCTTCCCTATCTCTACCTCCCAAGTAGCTAGGACTACAGTTGTGAGCCACTGTGCCCAGCTACATAACTTTAAAAAAATTTTTTTTTTTTTGGCAGAACTGGAGTTTGAACTCAGGGTTTTTAAGCTTATATATAAAGCAGGCACCCTACCACTTAAGCCACACTTCAGTCCATTTTCTCTGAAAATGTTTTGAAGATGAGGTCTTGAGAACTATTTGCCTGGGCTGGTCTTGAATCATGGTCCTCCTGATTTTAGCTCCTAAGTAGCTAGGATTATATGCATGAGCCACCTACAATAAACTTTTTATTACCTTTTTTTTTTTTTTTTCTTTTTTCTTTTTTTTTTGGTGTTATTGGCAGTGAACTCAGGGCCTGGCACTTCCTAGGCAGGCACTCTACCACTTGAGCCACTTCCCCAAACTACTGTAAGCTTTATAAATTAAAATTTAGACCCTTAATTCATTCAAGAAATTAAAAACTTAGCTTATCAAAACCATACAAATTTTGATGAATAATTATTAAATATTAAGATAGAAATGTTATTGGAAATAAATCTTGAATAATGAGAAAAGATAAAACATAACTTTTTTGGTGGTACTGGGATCTGAACTCGGAGCCTTTTACTTACTAGGCAGGTGTTACACCACTTGAACCACACTTTTAGCTCCTTTTGCTTTATTTTTCACATTAGGTCTTGCACTTTTTATCTAGGCTGCCCTAGGACTGTAATCCTTCTACCTACTCCTCCCGTGCAACTGGGATTCTAGTTGTGCTCCATCACGCCTGGCTTGGTTTTTAACAGTCTTCCTAACTTTTGGGCTGGCATAGAACTGTAATCTTCATATCTCCACCTCCTAAGTAGCTGATCTCCACCCCTTGAGTAGCTGGGATTATAGGCATGAGGCACCATGCCAGGCCGTAAATTTTTCTTTTTTGAGACAGGATCTCGTGGTATAGCCCAGGCTGTCCTTGAACTTGTGATCTCCTGTCTTCAACCTCCTAAATACTGGGATTGCAGTCATGTGCATCCACACCCAGCTTAGATTTTTAAAACAGGCATGAGAAAATTTGTTCAGATAAATGTTTGGGCGATGTCAGTCGTGGCACTCACTGCTTTTTGAGTTATGTGTCAAAAGTCTCAGTGATCTGTCTTTTTGTATTGTCCAGTGGGTTATTTTAGTATGTGCCAGCTAATAGTAGTCCTCTTGAACTATTCTGAAAGCAAAGATTTAAAAACTACCCAACGTAGACAAAAACTTAGTCATTAGAATCAGGTACTGTCCATCTGTCCTAACATCTTTGTTTGTGGAGAGTCTTAAACTCCAGGGCTGTGGTTAGATGTGATGCCTTTCTTATATAAAATGGGAGAGGAATAATTAGGAGAAAGGACTCGATGCTGACAGCATCCTCAACAGAGTAGTTTTTAGAAAGAATTCCAGTTGGCTAAGATGGACTCCCTTCAGCCTTCACACTAGAATGCTACTATTTTGAGACCACCCTAGCTTGCTCAGCATGTTCTCAACTTTGACTTTCACCTCTCCTAATTGTAATAGTCAGTGTATCTAAAATTGACTCTGTCCCTTTGAGAATGTATTAAATAAGCACATGCTTGTGGCTGAATAGATAGATAGAGCAGCCCTGTACATGGTGAATTACTTTGATGCTGGGCCGCCCCAGTTTTACTTAGGGATTACTAATTTTAAGGGTACTAGTGAGGTTGCTCCTTTGGGAAGAGGGCTCATGGAGCAATAGGTGGGACTCACCCACCTTCAGGGTCACCAAGTGATGTCAGATGTTGCTTGAGAATACTTTGTTGTCTCTGCTGTTCTTCAACCTTAATAGGTTCCTATTGGAGAACTAACAGAGGATACTAGTAATGAGGGAAGTGAAAGCTCTTGAAAGCTACTTAAGTATGTATTTGAAATGCCTTTATAAAGTTCTGCTGTTGTCATCACTTCAGGTCTTTAACATTAATCAATATCTAGACATACAAAGCAGGTAAAATTTTTCTTCGCTGCCCAGGGTAAATTTGACATGTATCTGTGAAGGTACTTGATAAATGTCAAGGTATCTTGCATTATAAGCTTGTATTTGGTCAAACTAGAGAGTGAATTATTAAACTATTTCTCCTAGATATTTAAAAAGCATATCATTAACTTATTTCTGTTTCTATCCTTAGTGTTCTCCGTGGCCTGATACCCCCACAGCCTATGTGAATAACAGCCCTTCCCCAGCGCCCACTTTCACCTCCTCACAGCAGAGCACGTGCAGTGTCCCTGACAGGTACCTGGCTTGTGTGATTGTATGCCTGCGCCTATTCAGTGCTCGTGCTCCTTCAAGTCTCTCTTCTCCGTTGGTAGACTTTATTAATTTTTACTGTACTGGGGGTTGAGCACAGGGCCTTCCAGTTAGTTGCCTACCAAGCACTCTACCACTTGAGCCACATCCCCTAGTCCTACAGCCTCTTATTTGCATGTCTGAAGTATGGAGTGATGAGAAATAGCCTGCACTTCAGTGTCACAGGTGCCTTTTCTTCACCTGCCGGCCCTTTTGCATCTAATCCCCCATGACTCACACTTTCACAACTGTGGTAATCCCAGCTGAGGCAGGAGGATGGAGAGTTTGAGGCATGCCCCAGGCTATATAGCAAGACCTTGTCTCAAAAAAGAAAAAGAAAAGGAGGCACTTGACATTTTCAAGATAGAACCAAGATGCAATCTTTGAGAGATTAATGACAACTTTAATGGGGTTCACAGGTTTAATGAGTTGTGAGGTAGAACTATATGACTTGAATAGGTTAACGTACAAAGAGTGTTGGTCTTTAATTCTTGCCATATCAAACAGGTTATTTTCTGCTATGTTTCCTTTCTTTAGAGGAAAGACTTTCAGTTTCACAAAACTTACTGTGGTTTTAGAAATGGAAAGGGTAGGTTTTGTTCATTCTGGCTTTGGCAACTGAGTGTATAGGGAGGATGAAAGCAGTAGACTGGAACTGAGGCATTTGAAGAGGCAGGGTGGGCTTTCCATTCTTGGACATTCCTGGAGGTTTTTCTGAAGAACTGATGCAGAATATTTGAGATCAGAAGTTCCCTGTTTTTAGGAAGCTTTTTTTAAAGCTGTACTGGGGTTTGAGCTCATGGCCTCATGCTTGCTAACCAGGTGATCTACCTCTTGAGCCATTCTGCCAGCCCTGTTCTAGTTTTATATTCCAATCATGCTGGTACAGTCTGATAAGAAAATAGTCATTGTTTTTCCCCTGCATGAACTAATCAGGCATCTTGCTTCCATGTAGGTTCTTGTGCTTTACCTGTAGGAGAATAATTGTGAACTTGACATGTTACCATGCTAGCTGGTCAGGCCACTCAGGATAATCACTGCAAAGTCATGTACCCACTTTTTTTTTTTTGGAGTAGTATCAGGGTTTGAACTTGGGGCCTCACACCTGCTAGGCAGGCACTCTACCACCTGAGCCACTTTGTCAACCCTTTTTTGTGTGTGTATTGGGTGATTCCGAGATAGGATCTAGCTTTCATTTTGCTTGAGCTAGCCTTGAAATGCAGTCCTCCTGATCTCTGCCTTCTGAGTAGCTAGGATTACAGGTGCGAGCCACCAGCGCCGGGCTTGACTGCTTGTTTCTTGAAAGCCCACTATCTTTCCAGCGCTGTACTAGATGCTATGATAAATGACCACACAGACAAATCCTGTAGGAAGGAGCTTAAGTTCTAGTGAGTGGAGAAAAGTACATGAAATCAGTGTAATAAAAATAAGGAATTGAGGAGCTAAGAAAGAAGCCTGTGCTCAGGAGCCAGGAAGGTGCCACGTGCTCTATAAAGTTGTTTCCCATTTTTCTGTCACCTCAAAAACACAAGGATAAGTGATACAAGTTTCTTTTGTTCATCCTTTTTAATCGTTGGTAGATATATTCATTAAACGAAGATACCATTTTATATTTTTGGTTAGAATTGTACTATTTCTTATACCTTATTTTTAAAGATGGTTTTGCAGTTTATTTTAGCTGTTTGATTCCTTGTATGTTTTTTCTAAATGAATGAGTATCCTTCATTTTCTTTTCACCATTGTGGAGACTTGAGGGAGCCCTTTTTGCAAAACTTTTCTCACTAGAACAGATGGAAAAGGTTGTATAAGATGTGGTTTGTCCTCATCTCACCATCATACTCACCCCTAGGCTGTATTCTGATTGCATGCTTATGTAGCTCTCCCACAGTGTTGCATTTCAAAGTTACCTACTTTAATAGTTCTTAAGATCTTGACTTTAAAAAAAATTATAAAAACCATTCCTTCTCTTTCCTCTCCAGCAATTCTTCTTCCCCAAATCACCAGGGAGATGGAGTTTCACAGACATCTGGTGAAGTAAGTATCTTCTCCCTATCAGATACTTTTAGGGATCTGCATTTTAAAGTTTCTGGCAAGGGGCTTGAGTCACCAAGTAGTCATGTTCATGTTCTTGGTTGTTCTTCAGATTTGGAGGCTTTTTGTATTTTGTTTAAGTAGTCTTCATAACGTCCAGTGACGGGTTATTTTTTTTAACATTGAATGATTTTATCTATTTATGTTCATTTTCTTTGTTAATAGCAAATTCAGCCTTCAGCTACAACCCAGGAAACACAACAATGGCTGCTCAAAAACAGATTCTCTTCCTACACAAGACTGTTTTCTAATTTTTCAGGTATGTCAGTATGTATGCATACATGAGAGAGTGTTTTGCTTACTGTGTGTTCTGTGCTTTTATTAAGAATTTTTAAATTTTTTGAAATGTCTATAAATATATATATGAAGCTGCAAAAAAAAAAAGTACAGGTGGTGCTGTATATGCATCTCCCAGTTTGCAGTGTGACATCATGCGTAATTACTAAATTCCACTAAATCCAGGAAACTAACATTGGCGCAGCTGATAGTCTTACATTTACCCACTATTTATATGTATATTTAGTTCTATCCAGTATTTTCTTCATTTTGAAAATTTTCTTCTTCATAGTAAGTTTGAAGATAGTACAGAGATGTTCCAGTATGCCTTTACTCATATTTGTAGTATGAGTACAATAATTGTAGTACAGTTGCAAAACCAAAGTCATCATTGGTGACATGCATGTACAGTTTTGTCTCATGTACAGATTGTGGCCACCACTGCAGTTGAGATTGAGATTTATAGCATCACTACAAGGTCCCCCCTTCTTGCTGCCCCCTTGTATGGTCCCATCTTCCCCTACTACTAAAATGTTCTGTGGTTTTACAGTTTGCAAATGTTATATAAAGAGAATCATACAGCATATGACTTTCGGAGATGGGCATTTTTCATTGAGCCTGAAGATGTCACGGTCCACCCAAGTTGTCATATGTATCTGTAGTTTAATCCTTTTTAATTGTGGAGCAGTATTTCATAGTATGGAGGTACTCAGGTGTGGGTTTTATATATTCCAGCCAGTTCTTTTCTTGCACAGGAAGTTAAGGGAGTGCTTAGGTGGAATTCTAAAAGGAATTAAGGCATGCTGCTCCAGGTGGTGACATAAGAGGACCGTTAGTAGATACACCAGATGGGCAGAGGCAATATCTTCCAAATGTTTGGCCGTTGGGCCTTTTCCACAGAAAACAGTTACTAACATGTTCTGGCCAAATATATACTGAGAAATGTTGAGTCACGGTAAAGTGGCAGTTAGCTCTCCTTTTGTTGTGGTACTGTCAGGCTGCTGAAACACAATTTGGTGCCTTAAAAAGGACAGAATATAATGGGTGTACATACCCAGGCTGAAGGAAAGCCTCATTTCTCAAACAGCACGGTTTCCTATTGTGCCATTTATTGTGTTGTTTGTGCAGTGAATAGTCATTTCCCATGTAGCTGTTTGATTCTTTAAAGTACCAGATGGAAGTCATTTGCTAGATTAGATCCTCATGTTAATATGATTAAGTAAAGCCTTTGTGTGTGAAAAACTAGGAATCATCAAATTCAAGGTCACGGAGAGGGACATCTTGAACCATTGTAGGATTCAGGCAGATGAAAAGCACAGCCAGGCAGGACGGGGGTTGCTTACACCTGTAATCCTAGCTACTCAGGAGGCAGAGATCAGGAGGATTGAGATTTGAAGCCAGCCAGAGCAAGCAGTTTGCAAAATGCCATCTCAAAAATACCCAGCACAAAACAAGGGCTGGTGGAGTGGCTTTAAGTGGTAGAGCATATGCCTAGCAAGCATGAGGCCCTGAGTTCAAATCCCAGTACCCCCACTGCCAACAAAGAAAACAGAAAAAATATAGCCAGTAGAAAAGGTTCTGAGAGCTAGAACCAGGGAGGTGACTCATGTGATGTTAGGCAGATATGTGTTTGTGTCTGGGGAGCTCTGAGGTCTTGTCACTGTGAACTGTAATCACATGGATTGACCTCCTGCCTTTTCCTTAACCTGTGGGTGTCCTCTTTAGGTCCGGTTAGAAACTAGCCATGGTGCCCATTGGCACATCAGCTGAGCCATAGCACTGACAGTAGACCTCTTGCTCTGGGCCTCTTGGGCAATTCACATGTCAGGAAGGGCTGCAGTTGCAGGTATCTGTCTAGTTCTCTGTATGGGTTATGGTGTGTGCGACACACACTCACATGTGTGTGTGCACGCCCTCTTGTCACAACTGTGATCATTGCTGCAGAGGTGTGAGTAGTAGGTCCCAGTAGAAAGATGAGAGTACTTCTTTCACTGCTTATCTGACTCCATAAAATGATTCCACTATAAAATGTTCACATCTCATGGGAATTATGCTTCTCTGGTCTCTGTTCATTTTTCAGAGCAGGAATTTATTAGGCTGACATTCAAGCTTTTGAAACAAAGATACTTGTTATGCCTTCATTTCAGATGACATACTAAATTTCCACCAATGAACTGTGTCTTGACTAATAGTAAAAGGGTAAAAACAAATAATACCCTCATTATATTCTCAAATATAATGAGAATAGAGAACATGATGAATTATATTCTCAAATATATTCTCATTATATTCTCAAATATAATGAGAATAGAGAACATGATGAATTCCCATGTGGCCTACCCCAGCTTCAGAGCTGACTGATCTTTGGTCAGGCTTGCTCTCCACCTCTTCCTCGCTTTTTTTTTGTTTTTTTGTTTTTGATTTTGTATTTTAAGACAAATCCTAGATACCAAAAATTTACAGAAGAAATATGAAGGAAGAATATGTGAGTCTGTGCTTTTCCTGTTAAAGTAGCCTGCTGTGACAGAGTTGTGTTCCAAGATGACATTGCATCTTGCATGTTGCAGAGTAGAGGACTACTTCTCACTCTGCTGTCAACTCATAGTGTGACTTTGGGCAAGTCACGAAATGATGGACTTTTAGTTTCCTCTTTTGTAAAATAAAAGATGGACAGTTCAGGGGTGCCTTAATTCTGAAATCAGAATTGTTTAGCCACAGCCCAGCAACTAGGGAGGGTAAAGAGTGGAGTCCCATATTGGGAACATGAGTTTCTACAAGATCTTGCTTGTTAATTAGATTTACCAGCTCTGAACTTCTTAGGACATTGAAAAGCCAGAATTTGGGGAGCAGGAAGGCTCTGAGGGACAGGTATGCATATGTCTTGTGTCGCTCATGTATATACATTCAGGATACCTGTCATTGTTTCTGATGGAAATTTAACCATGTGAAGACAGATGCCTGTTAAGCAGCGAGTCATAGTTATTTTTTTCCTACTTGTTTGAGAAAAATCTCTTTGCTGTTCTCTAGGTGCCGACTTATTAAAGCTGACAAAAGAGGATTTAGTTCAAATTTGTGGTGCAGCCGATGGAATTCGGCTCTATAACTCACTGAAATCAAGGTAAAATACTATAGACTTTCTGCGTGAAATGAAAACACACCTTTCTTTGCGCGGGGGTTTTGGGCAGAATGTGTTTCCACGCTAGGTTGGCGTGTGCCTGTGTGCGCCATCGAGCATCGGCAGCGTCATGCTCACGAGAAGACTGTTTTGTGTACACCTTCAGGGCAGGCCCAGATATGATGCAGGCACTGATGAGGGCAGAGGTAGACTAAGACTGGTAGCAATGCACATGGGCAGTACTGATTTCTTGAAGACGACTGGGTTTGTTGCCAAGAAAACAAAACTTCTAATTTAGGTGAGCTATACAGAATCTATGGTTTTCAAGGTTATGATTATTATTAAAAAGTTATTAAAATGTAAACTTGTAATTGTGAATTAAAATTATAGAACTGTAAACTGTGCTGGCTTTTAAGATCCATTTGCTGTCATTGCTATTTCTAGACTTGTGTGAGAATTCCATTAAAATTGAATCCTACTGATTTTAAATTGCTTACTTAATCTTGAAACTTAAATTTACCAGCATCTGACAGACCATCTCAATGGTTTAGAGTCTGGATCATCATATTAGACCACCTGTGATAGTTGGTGTGAGGTGTGTGGTTTTTATATTTTTATTAGTAAATTATCTTGTATAATGAAATAACATTGTAAAGTTCTCATAAGGAAATAGAACTTAGACTCCTGTAGTTGTCATGTGTGCATGTGCTCAGGCAGCTTTTTCTTCCAAGCTCATCAGTGGCATTTTCTGATTGCAGGTCAGTTAGGCCCCGTTTAACCATCTATGTCTGCCAGGAGCAGCCGCACGCTGCAGGCAGTGGAGGCGAGAGTGGCGGTGGGACACCCTATGGTGGGTATTGAGGGCATCTCAGCTCTGTCACTTCCCTTCTGATATTTTCCATTGGTGTCATTTTAACTAGAAAAGCTGTGAATTTTAAGACTAATGATACAATTTCTTAAAGTGGGCTGGCTTAAGTGGTAGAGTGCCTGTCTAGAGTTCAAACTCTGTATTACTGAAAAAAGGAAAAAAAGTTTTTTAAAGGAGCTGTCTTGTCACTCCACAATCTTTTACATCTTTGACGTATCAACAAGGGTACAGTATTTTGGAACATGTGTCCTCAGACATGAATGTTTGTTAAAATATTGGAGACTTTAATCTTTGATCAGATCAGAAGACTTTTTCCGTAAAAAGGTGTGTACTATTTTCACACTTCAGGCCCTCTTACACATTCACCTCTGCCATTAAAGTGCGCAAATAGCCAGAGACGGTGTGTAAGGACAGGTATGGCCATGTTCCCTCTTTATTAAAAAATAGTAAGTGGAGGGCAGGAATTGGTTCACTCAAGTTATGATTTGGTAACTCTAGATCTGCGTATTCCCTCTAGACTTACTGTAATTTTAGTTCGAAATTCTAAGCCTTTCAAAATGTGTAATTACAGACATTCTTATACTCATAAATCCAGGCACAACTTTGCTATTTGGGGAGGCAAAGTTCTCAGCAGTGATATTCCTAATCCATGTCAGATTTGAACGAGTGTGTGAATTGAGCAATTAAGACCTATATGAGTAAGACACACTACAGACTTGCACTGTGCAGATGATACCTGCTGATAAGTTACATATTCTAGAAACGTAGGACACGGGGTAGACTGTGACTGGCACTTCTGTAAAGAAGAACCAAGCCTCATTTTCTCTTATTCTTTTAGGGTTCTTTATATATTGATAGAAACACATTTTAAAAAAAAAAAAAAACCTACTTTCTTTACGTATTATTTATTTAGCATGAAATCCTCCCATTGTAAGTATCCATTTCAGTGTACTTTAGTACATATACATAGTTTTGCAGCCACTGCTGCAACAGTCTAGTTTTAAATCTTTTACCCCAGAAAGATCCTCCATTGTTAGCAGTGAATCCCCGCTGATTTTTGATTGTATGCTTGCAGTGCTGGGGACTGAACCTAAGGCTTTGTGGATGCTCAGCAAGCACTCTAGCACTGAGCTATATCCCCAGACCATCCCTGTTCATTTTTAAATTCTCAGTACGTGAGACTCCATATTCATTGCAGAATAATAAAAATTGAAACCTCAAATCCTTTTGTAGAGGGATTACTATTAATGTTTATTAAATTGTACATGTGAGCATAGATAATATATTCTTATATTTCAGGTGGGTAGTTGGAGATTTTTAAGGTAGTACGGGGTAAGAGAAATGTTAACTTATTTGTACTTACAAGTTCAAAATTTTATCTTTCCGGTACTTTGAAAGGTATACTCTTATCGAGTAGGAAACAGATGAATTGTTATTGGTAAAATACTGTTCTTTTTTCTTAATTTCAGTTTATCATGCAATCTACTTGGAAGAAATGGTTGCCTCAGAAGTTGCTCGAAAACTTGCATCGGTGTTTAATATTCCTTTCCACCAAATTAACCAGGTTTACAGACAGGGTCCCACTGGTATTCACATTCTTGTTAGTGATCAGGTAAATTGAAGAGGCAGACCCATTCATTCTTCCTTTCACACTGCTATTTACTTTTATACATGTCACTGTGGAACTGTGGGAAAATATCATGACCTCTTCTTGCAAATACACATAAGAACATTTACAGAGGATTAGGGATCAAAATTTTAAGAATTTTATAACCAGGAGTTACAGACATTTTAATAATGACAAGTAATAAAAATCAGGGAACACTGGCTCAGCTTCCCTAACCCTTTTGAATCCACTCATTGGTGGATTTAAAGTTTAGTGGAGGACTTCATCCCTTTTTATTATGTTAGGCATTGTGTTTATTTTGCCCATTTGACAACCATCTTTAAAAAACCCATAATATGTAAGGTTAGAAATACTATTCCACCCCTCCTGCTCCTGCTGTGTTCAGTGACAAGCAAATAAGAATACTTTCCAGAGTTTTTGTTAAATGTCATTATTCACAAGACTCAACAAATCACATAGGCACAGTTAACAGTGCAGCAGGTGTAAATTTTTACTAGCTCACACTGTTTTCATGAATTGTTTTGACTGTTGAACCCTATTCTTGTGGGAGAAGAAAATATAGATTGATATTTTCCTTTACTATTTTAATTTCTAGTCAGTTAAGAAAGGATCATTGGAATTTAATTATACTCACACATCTGCTTTATTCTAGATGGTTCAGAACTTTCAAGATGAGAGTTGTTTTTTATTCTCCACAGTAAAAGGTACTTTGTGTATGTGTGTGTGTGTCTTGAAATGTTGCAGTCACGAAAGATAGTGTGTATCTCTTCTTGATAGCCCTTTTGTGTGCTTATTCTTAAAAATGCCATCTTTACTAATTTTGAGAGAGTTTGAGAAGTGGATGAGCAGAATATTTTTAATGGTTGTAATAGAAATTAGCAAATAAGGAAGAGGAGTCATTCTTTTAGATGACTGAAAAAAAGAGTCTGCTTATTCAGCCAACTTTATTGAGCATTTTTCTACCAGACATCATGCTATTAGTGTTTGAAGGGTCTTAAGTAAAACAAGGGTCCATGGAACTCTAACTCTCCTGGAGAAAGCAAACCAGATTGGCCACAGATACACAAAACTACTAATATTTTAAGTGCCATGATGGAATAGGAAAGTGAAGTGTTATTAAGGGGCTCTTGGATGGGGGGAATATAGAGCTGTTAGGAAAGGCTTCCCTGATGTGGTAACTTAAAAAATGAGGTGCTGGCCATAGCAATAGTGTCCCATTGCAGTGAGGAGCTGTGTACAAAGGGATGCGCTTGGCTTCTGCTAAGGCCTGGAACAATCCCTGCAGCGGCCCTGCAAGGTCTAAGGGTGAGCAGAGCAAGATGGTTCAAGGTGGGAGGCAGGGTCTGGCATGCCGGCTGGAGATTTTATTTGAAATGCATTGGAAAGTCAGTGAAGTTGATTAAACAAAGGAGTAATGCAACTAGATTTTTCTTCTACTCTCTCAACTCTGTGGAGACGGATGTGAAGGTGGCAAAACTGGAGGCAGGAGATTCTTCCAGGCGAGACGTAATGGGTCTTACAGATTTATGGACAGGGGCCACTGGGCTCCACATTTGAGGGAAGAGTAGTTGTAACTGCAGGTGTTTGTTGAGCAACTGGGCAGGTGGTGGCCTCATCAAAGAGGTAAGTAAGGTTGGGTAAAACAAGAGCTCTGTTTTGGATATGTCAAGTAGGCAGTTAATTGTTTCATCCTGGGACCCAAAGAGATGTAGACTTGAGATGTAAATTTGGGAAGCCTTCATTACCAGCAGTTAGTCAAAGCTGTGGAAGTTGTTGAGGTCATTTAGAGGAAGATGCTGTGTGTTACTATTTTCTAGTAGTCACTCTAGAAAAGAGTGGCCCTAAACAGTGTTAAAATTAATTCTCCTTTGTGCTTGATGTATTTACCTGTACCATCAAGTTACTGCAGTTCTGAAGTGATGTTTTATGTACACTGAGCTATATTTACTTACCTGCAGGGCTGTCTTAATTGAACTAACTGACTTTCAGAAATATCTTAAGCTTAGTACTTTTCAGCTCAGTCTCTTGTTCTAAAAGCTAAACAATTTTTGCTTGGTGCAATTCATTGTCTAAAAACAAACTCATACTGTAATCATGTAGTTGTTTCGAAACTCGTATACATTTCTGGCCTCAAACATCATAGGATTTACTCTCCAGTCTCAGACAGTGACCACATGAAAACCTTCATTTCTGCCTTTGTGAATGCCTTCATTGCTTTTTACTGAAGCTGTCAGGCAAAAATTAGCGATGTTTTTAAAATCAAATTTACCTCTGAGGAGTTTAAATTTTTGCATCCTCAGGTTCTCTGTACGTTTTGTTCAGGCTTCACTTGTCCTCTGCTCTCGCATAGTGCTTTGACCTGTTCTGCCTCCAGTGCACTCTTGCTTCTGTGTTCTGATAGACCCCCACCCTGCCCTGTAGAACAGGCAAGCAGTGCGGCAGCAGGGCCCTGACAGGAGACAGCCAAGCTTCAGAGAGCAAAGTGTCAAACAGGATGTGTACATGAAATTGTCTAAGGAAAGAAGAGCTAGAGCAAACTAATCAGCCCTTTTCTGTAAAATTAGTTAAAAGCAACCTTTGAATTGGGTGGGGTGTTACAGATTTCAGAGTTTTAGATTCAACAATTTGCTAAGCTTGGTTAAAAAAAGATTTTAACTTTCTTTTTGCAGCTGAAAATAATGATGGTATCCACATAATTTTGAAGTGATATCTTACAGAGACTGAACTATTATTCAGTACCAAATAAAGTCACGCTTAAAAGTGTGTGAAGACTGAATCCAAGGAGTCTTGGGATTGGATTTTACCATAAGAAATGTTTCATATTGAAAACACAAGATGACCTTCCTAATGAGCTGTATGACAGGCAAATCTCCTCACTGTCACTGCCATAGCCAAGCATCCTCATGAGAGTGAGCACATTGGGCAGCGTGCATCCCAGCTCTGGAGGCCATGACACAGGCGCAGCTGCCTGCTCTTCTGGCAGAGGCCAGTAGACAACAGTTTGCAGAAGCAGCCTTTCCTGGCTTTTTACACTGTATGCAGTTTAGAAATGAATGTTTAAAAAGAAACTTATTGTGGGCATTTACCTTTCTGTGCCAGTTTGGCTTTTATTTCCTGACCTTTGTGCTGACCTGGGGTGGAGATGGGGAATGCTGTTCTAGAGCCAGAATGGAATCTGTCTGCGTGAGATGCACTGTGCTGACGAGGCAGTTGGTGGTCAGGTAAGAGGCTCCACACCTTCTCAGAAGCAATCATGTCTGAGGGTGTACGTACGTCTGATGGGATCAAATAGACTGGGAAGCTCCAAGGCGACAGATGGGCTTGAAGCAAACTGCATTATCAGAAGTACCTTGGTGAGAGGATCAGTGTAAATCCTAATAGGTACAAAGACTTTTGTGTTTTTGCTTTGTCACAGATTTATTGAAAACTTTTTTGCTTCTGCTTCCATTTTTAGTGTTTTAGCTTCTGGTTTTCATTTTTTGAAGCTTCCTTGCCTTTTAAACTTTACGTGGTTTTCTTTTCTCATTCTCCTCCCACACCCCCAATTCCTGATCTTTAAACATCTTGTTTGTGTTTTGAGACAGAGTCTCACTGTGTTGCCCAGGCTAGCCTTTAACTCCTGGGCTCATACCATCCTTCTGCCTCAGCCTCCTGAGTAGCTGGGACTACAGGTGCACACCTCTGCACCTGGCTCTGTTCTTAAACATGTTTAAAGACCTCCCCCAAACATTAGAAATAAGTAATGTGACTAGGGGGAACAGAGTATTATTAGTAGCTTCTGACTAGGTGTTAAGGGATCTTTGCTATGAACAAGATGAAATTACTCATGGAAACACTAGATATCATAAATCTAGATATCATAAATCAAACACTAAAATACAAAAGCCCTTAGTTATCTCCTCAAATACTGAGCTTCAGTACAATCATGGAGAACATTCTGGTGATTATTTAGGGGCTTTTAAAAAATAAGACCACATCATGGCTTCTTTTTCTATCGAAACTGTGCCTCTTTCATAAAATCAAATGTATTCTATTAGCATACTTTTTCCAAAGGAAATCCATTGCCTATCCTCTTCACTTCACTCAGAACCTTCCCAGAATTCATCATCAAGCATTTTTAGGCCTGTGATGTATCAGACTGAGGTTTTTGTTTTTTTAAACTTAATGGTAGCATCTCTATCCATTTACTCTGTTGTTTTGGCTTTGAATGTACTATTTGATCCTCTTCTTTGTTCAGGTGGAAATAGGAATGATTAAGTTTGAAATCTCTCCCAGAAGACAAACTTCAGTGTGTAAAAGTTTTGACATTTTATGTTTTATTCATAAAGTGGGTTAATTATTTGCTACAAAGAAGCACTGTCTCAATATTTTCATCTTCAGTTTGGAAATATCTGTAACTCCTGTAGACGCTTTAGGAGAGCTTTCCTTTCTGTCCTTTATCCTTTGCTTTTGTGTGACCACAAGTTTTCTGTACCAGTCACTTGGGAAAGAAGTGAACTTCTCTCTTGTTTTAGAGTTTGCTTGTCTATTTAGCATTCCTTTTTGGGTCTCATGATTTATGGAACAATAAATGTCACTTAATGCTGTGTGCTATTTTGAATTCCTTACCAGGTTTTAGAAGTGGAGTGAAAATACTCATAGCTCATCAAACTTGAAATTACACTGAGCAGCATAAAACATTAGTCCCAATAAAACAGGTTAAATAAATTGTGGCACCAGCAAATTTGCTACTTTGTTTTTTTAATAGTAGGATGTACAAGTTCAGTATAATAAATGTTTTCCGATTGTTTTGTAAATGTGTCTCATTTAAAATCTCAGTTTATACTAGTGTCACCTCAAGTCACATGATCACAGGGCTTTACTGTGTATGTCCTGAATATACCCCAGTCTCAAAAGCTGATGCAGATAAGAATGGGTTATCCCAGAGGCTCAAACCCACTAAAGCTACACTCTGAGCTCAGCAACTGGGTTTTCTTACAAGAGGTTTTCCTAGTCTGTAAATGAGGTCATACAGCATTGAGTCCAAGTCCAGTAGCTGTGATAGGTCATAGGCTCAAAAGACATGGTATATAGGAGGTTCTGGTCATTTAATTTTTTCAGTAGAAACTGAAGTTTATTATATGCCATTTATTTAAATGGCTTCCTGTATGAGTCATAAGTATGACCCCCCAGTCCTCAAGAGTGGTGTAAATGTGTATTTAAATAACCACTGTGGTATCCATACAACTTAAAAAACAGAGCATATTGGGGTATATAAAAAAAGCAATAGAAGTCATCAGTTCTTTGAATGCTTACTCTGATGGTCTTGCTAAGACACCATAGCAGGTATGCATGAGTCTGCTTTCTGTACCTAAATTTTAGCTAAGGCAGTGCGTCTGTGAAGATGCTTCTAAAATTGTCCATCAACTCAGAGGAAACATGTCATTTTTCCTTTTTCATTTATGAGTTTTCAGCCCTTTAGTTTGGGGACTGGTTGCTGAGAAGGGTCCACTAAGTTCACAGTGAAGGTCAGGTGATGGGTTTCTAATCTTCAGAATAATCAGCCGCAGCCGAACATAGGTCATCTCATCAAATTTCAGGTAATATTAGGTGGTCTGAATTGGAAATAGTTTTGCTCAGACTTGTCAGCAAGAAAGATCACAGCAATAGAACCCTTTGGTTCTACTGGTGAGTGAGTGAATCCAAAAGACACCAATACTTCACTGATGTGAATTTTAAGTGTATAAAGTTTCTGAGTCCTGGTGTGACCTGATTTCTAAAAGTTGCAAATAAATAGAAAAAAATCACATCCATTCTACATGCATCCATTCATTATTTTTAATTCATTATATTGTAAATAACTTAAACCTCAGTCAATTCTGTGTTTAAGATATCCCCCAAATTTTGTGAGAAGCATGGACATAACTGGCTTTTGTCTTTAACAAAAGTACACTATATGCTGTAGCGTATGCCAGAGCTCATGATTTCCAACCAGGCAAAACAGAAACTGAATTGCTTTTGTTTAGTTTTGGTCCCTGGAGGTGTGTAGAACAAGGTGACACAAAAAAGTGAAGATCCTGCTTCACCCAGTTTAGAGTCATTTCTTTGGTGTCTTTACGGAAATGTGTTAACATGCCTTCAATATACATTTCTACATGTAAAACTAACAGGCATTATGAACTTGAAGTACAGTCACTTTGATGAAGTGGAATAGTCCAGCTAATAAAAATGGAATGATTGTGAATTAAAGTAGGCCACTGGCTTAAGGATCAGGTAGAAAATCAACAGGTGGTTTTTCTGCTTGGTTTGTGCTAACACTGACAGTCTGTGTGAGAGATGCTAATCATACCAACGGTAAAACTTGTGGACTTAAGAGGAACCCACTGAAGGGATCTAGGTGTTCTGTGTGGTCTTGGCTGCCCTAGACACAAGGCTTGGATTTAAGTGCATCAACAGCAAAGTAAAGGTGAAAGCTATCACCAGAGTTACTGCTATCCATATGATGTCTTTACCTGTAAATGCTTCCCAGTGGAGAGTCAACAGATTTGGGTAACAATGGAGGACTCAAGATGACTCTGGTCTTCTGTGGAGGAAAATACCTCATCACACCTTGGGCCCAGGCAGCTGCTGCTGTCAGAGGATCACACAGCACCTACACAATCGCTGTCCACCTCCTGCCACTGCTGGTGGTGGTGTGACAGGAGCAAAGTAGGCATGGACTTTGACGTGAGGGAGCTGAGCCTGGAAGTAAAAATAAAAAATAAAAAATGGAGTCATCTTTGCCCTCATTTTTAGGATTATGGTCACAATCCTAGAAAACCCATAGTCCATTTAGAGTCTACCCTGCCTTAATAATAGGCAGATAGTTCAACTTCTGCTCACATAAAATTTCACTGTAAGCTAGAACTGCTCCTGTCACCAGACCTTCCCCCCCAAAAGGATCTAGCATTTTCTAAAGAAACGGAAACTTAAGCTGATACATTTCTGCCCAGGAGTTGTAGTCAAGCCCTGTTTGCAAGCTGAGTTGAAGGACCCTGGAAAGAGTTGCTCTGGGGTGTGAATGAAAACTTTCTAAACTTAAAATGATCAAGAAAATGGTGAGGTGATTTATATGTAGAAAGGAAGCCACTCTGCTAAGCTTCCTTACTGCAAATTAGCCAAGATTCTGCCCTACTTCTGCCAACAGTGCCTTAACTTGCTCCCTTGAATGGAGGCCTTCCTAAAAGGATGCTGATTACCAGACGATGAGACCCATTCCAGTTGACTGGGGACAAAGCAATGGACTTTTGGAGATGACATGTAAACCAGATCATTTGGCATAGCTGTGGACTTGGGATACAGAATGTTGATAATTCCTTCCTTGCCAGAAATTATGCCAGCATGGGGCACACATCCCTGTCACACCTACCCGCATCCGTTTGATGCCTGCCCGAGTGACCTGCTGACAGTCGTACAGCTCGAGACGTTCCAGGCCACGGCAGTTCTCAAGGTGCTCCAGGGCCGCATCCGTGATGAGGAGGCAGTTGTCCAGCTCCAGCACCCGCAGCCTCTCATGGCCACAGGTACTGTTGCTCAGGTGCAGGATCCCATCGTCCGTGATGAGTTCACAGTGTGACAGGCTCTGGGATGGGGAGAAGGGAGATGTTCACAGAACCTTCATTCTAGGCTCCAACCAGTAAAATCAGGGCAGCTGCCTCGTGAAGTGTCCCAGAGTAGCTCCTGGCTGTGATCTGGATATATCCCCTAAAAAGCAATGCTACAGTGTAGGAGAGAGGAGCCCACTGGAAGGTCTCCCTGTATGAATGGATTAACACTGATTACAAAAGGGCTTGAGGTGGTGAATTTTCTCTGCTTCCCCCTCCTCCTTCACCCCCCGGCCCTTCGACCTTCTGTTGTGGAATGACACAGCAAGAAAAGGCCCTTACCAGATGGCTAGCCCATCAGTTTCGGACCTCCCAGCCTCCAGAATGGTGAGAAATCAATTTCATGGGGTTTTTTTGGCGGTCTTTGGGCTTGAACTCAGGGCCTCACACTTGCTAGGCAGACACTATGCCACTTCAGCCACTCTCCCAGCCCCCTGAGGAGTCAGTTTCTGTAAGCTCTGTGAGCTCTGCTTCAACAGCACAAAGTGGGCTGGCTGCTGCATCATGGAGGGGGACGATCGGAGCCTGGAGGTCTGTTGGCCACCAGTTTGCTGTAATGGGCAGTAGTTTTTCTCACCTTTAAAATTCTAAAGATGGGAGTACAGTTTTCAGGGGCATCTCAAGAGTTTAGCCCCTTGAGAGCAGTTTTATTGCCCAATTCTCCATTTGAGTAGAGGCCAGTGAAATGATTCCAGTGTCCTTGTTCAATTAAAAAATGGTGCAAACAGCCATGACTCAGTTGCATACTGAGCATCTTTCAGGTTTATGATCAAATAGACCTTGAACAGTGTGGTATGACATTGCTTGCCTCTCTGGGGTACACGATAAAGGTCACAGAAAGTAATTCACATGAACTTACATAGCCAAGTGAAATGTCTATAGTTCTCTTATGGTTTCCTGATCAACAGTTTCAGACTTCACAGATTCCCTCCCCCCCCCGCAACGTGCATCAAATGTAGCACCAACAAGAGAATCCTACAAATACTGCAGTAAGGTTCCTGTCATTCACTCTTCAAATATGTTAACTCTAACCTACGGCCAAGCCATGGGTGTTCCTTGGTGGAGCCCAGGCTAGAGCCAACTCAGGAGAAACCTGAGTTGATGTCTGAAAATCCTTTAGACATCCTAATCAGGAGCTAAGTAAGGTAGATCAAAGAAGAGATCAGAAGAATTGTGGTTTTAGGGAAGCCAGGGGAAAAAGTGAGACTCCATTTTGACACTCCATTTTGACCAACAAGCCAGGTGTAGCAGTACACTTCTGTAATTCCAGCCATGCAGGAGGCAAAGGTAGACAGCAGCCTGAAGAAGGCCCCAGGCAAAAATAGCATACTATCTGAAAAGTAACAAAAGCAAAAAGGGCTGTGGGCATGGCTCAAGTGGTAAGAGCGCCTGCCTAGCAAGTGCAATGCCCTGAGTTCAAACTCTAGTACCAGCCAAAAAAGAAAAAGAAACTGTGCAAAACCCAGGGTGGCTGGAGAGCGGCATGCAGAGAGATTGGGAAGGAGGTCAGCCCAATGGGGAAGTAAGAGTGCATCTGGATGCAGTGGAAATGGGGAGGTAGGAGCGTGAGACAAAGTGTTGCCAGTCATAGAAACAAATTTCATTCCAAGATAACTGGGAATGCGGTTTTTCAAAAGATCATGAGTGTCACTGCATACCCACCAGAAGGGCTAAAATGGAAAAGGTGGAAACTTCAGTGCTGGTGAGGATGTGAGCAGCTGGTACACCTGCCTTGCAAGGGGACTGCTATGTGTTAACCCAAAGACTTTCATCACTACAGCACAGGAACCTACCGCAATAGTGCATACAGCAAAGCAGCCTTCTTTGTGTCTTCAGTCTTTCAACACAGCCTAGGCTGTCCTCAAACCCTCCTGAGTTCTGGGATTACAGGAATATACCACCATGCCCTGCTCCCAGGCAGCCTTTCACTTTGCACAAAGCACCAGTAGTCCAAACCATCTCCTTTGGGCCATTACTGTATTATTTCATTTGCTCTTGGAACACTGCAGAATATTTTTCCCATTTTACAGATGAAGACACTAGCTCAGAGAACTTAAAATTTGCCAGTTGCACCCAGCTATGGCTTTGCCCCTGCACTGCCCCCCCACCCCCCACAAATGTGTAAGACTGCTTTTATTTACGTAAGTTTATGGGAGGTGTGTCAAGTGGAAATTTCCAGAAAAACAAGCTTCCCATTGCTAGGTATCTATCCCAGGCTAAGCAGGAGTGCTGTGCTCCATTAGTGAGCAGCACATAACATCCCTGAGTCAGAGACGGCAAGTGTGGTGAGGATGGAAGACTTAGAACAGATGGTGGCTCCACCACCTGTGCTTTAAATGCCACCAGCAGATGTCCTCTGCTCCCATGCTTTCAGAACAGCACTTTCTCTAGGAGGCCGTAAGGTTATCTGTGGAGGGAACATGGTGACTGCAAGGTTTAGAATAGTGGATTTTTTTTTTTCCCCAAATAAAAACCTTTTGACCAGGTGCAGTGGCTCATGGCCATAAACCTAGCTATTTGAGATGCAGAGATTTGGAGGATCAGGATCATGGTCCAATCCAGCCCAGGTGTGAGACCCCATCTCAACCAATGAAACACTGGGCATGGTAGCGCGCACCTGAAATAAGAGGATTACAGCCCAGACTGAATAGAAATTCTGGGCCCTGTTGGAAAAATAATGAAGGCAAAAAGGGCCAGAGGCGTGGCTTAAGTAGTAGAGCGCCTGCCTGGCAAGTGCACACAAAAACCTTTGTCAATTTCTTTTTCTGCATTGAGATGAGCATGTCACTTTTCTTTAGCCTGTTAACATGGAGGATGCTGGTTAGGTTTTCAGTGATAAACTAGTCTCTCTGGAATTAACTGCTTGGTGTGATGCATAATTTTCATGCACTGCTGAGTTGTATTTGCTAACATCTTGTTAAGGGCATTTGCTTCTGTGTTTATGAAGGTCTGTCCCTTTGGTTTTGGTACCACTTTTGTTTGGCTCTGGCTTCAGGCATTCCTGGTCCATAATATGGCTGTGAAATGCTCACCTCTATGTTAGAACAGAGCATGTAGGATCTGTGCTAATTCCTTAAGCACTTGGTGAAATTCTCCAGCAAAACCAGCTGAACCTGAACATTTCTTTTAAATGTTTTAAAACATTTTAAAATGGGGTTTTAAAATTATAAATCCAATTTCTTTAGGCATTATAGGGCTATTTAAATGACCTGTTTTCTACCAGATGAACTGTTTGTCCATTTTACTTACGTTGTCAGATTTATAAATTCTTCCTGAAAATTTGCTCCAAAAATCAAAAAAATTTTGAATACCACCGTAGTGCCATAGTGGAAAATTCCACAGCTGACCTCATGAGAGGTTACAGTCCACATGCAAACGTACTAAAAATTGCATAAAATACATACTAAACAAATTTCATGTTTAGATTTGGGTCCTATTTCCAAAATACTCCATCATGTATATATGCAAATACTCCACATTTGAAAAAAATCTGAAATCCAGAATCTATCTAGTCCCAAGCATTTCAGATGAGGACAAGCAACCCGTACTGGCTGGCTTTCTTCCTGTGGTCCCACAAGCCTGGCAGGAACCAGCCCCCTGACAGCAATTGTGCGCTCTCTCCAGCTTTGCTGGAGGCCTGGCTTCAAAGAGCAAGCTTTCTATTTTAATGGTTTTCTATTTTTGTCTTTTTCAATTTCACTGATTATTATTGTAGCCTTGTTTTGGGTTTCTTTTTTCTGACTTCTTAAAGGTGAAAGCTTAAATTATTTTTTTTTAGTACTGGCTTTTGAACTCAGGGCCTTGCGCTTGCTGGGCAAGCACTCTTATCACTTGAGCCAGGCTCCCAGCCCTTTTTATTTTTCAGATAAGGCCTTGTGCTCCCTATGTGGTCCTCAGTGACACTACAGGTGGGAGGAAGGCAGCTCATTACCACTGAACAAAGGTAAAAGACTCCTTGCTTCCCCAACTCTACCTTTTCAGGCAGGAGTTGGGATGGGACAACAGTTTTTTTCTGGTGTGGGCTAGGGTAGAGTTGTTGTTGTCTAAAGGTTTTCTTGGTCAGTTGCCCTTTTCCTGGTCCTCTGACTAGAAGCAGGTTCTTGTTTGGATTTTTCTGTGTCAGCTTCTCAGCTTCTGAGCTTCTCTAGCCTGAGGGAAGAAAATGAAACCTTAGAGATCTCTACCATGCTGCCGCTTGAGGCTGAGGCTGCTGGGTCTCCTGATCTTCTGGAGTGTCTGTGCTTATTTTCTACGTAGTGTTCGGGACATTAGCAGGGCCATGCAGAATGGGGAGAGATTTGTCTACTTAATTTTTCTGGAACTGAAACCTTGAACATTTTATTTAAAATACTTTTTTCCAGCAAATAGAAATGAAAGGCTGCCTTTCACAGCTCTGCTGATAACATCTGAAGAAATAGGTTTTGCACACAAGTACACAGTTCCAAGTCAGTGGTAGGTAAGAAGGAACAGGAAGTTCACGTACAGCCGAGAAAGGAGGCCTATGTGACCATGCTCAAATACTCACTTTGGAGGCATGGCGCACGTGGTAGAGCCCCTGCCTAGCAAGTTCAAAGCCCAGTATTGCCAAAACAAAACAAACCATCAAGTCAATCCAAAAGAAGACTGGAAAGGAAGAACAGAGGAATAGAAAAAAAGAAAACACAAATCCAACTATCAATACTATGTTAAATACAAGCTGACTGAACATTCCAATTAAAAGGTAGAGATCAGCTGGATGTAGTAGTAGTCCCAGCACTCAGAAGGCTGAGGCAAGAGGATCTTGAGTTCCAGGCCAGCCTGGACTACACAGCAAAGCCCTGTTTTAAAAAAAACCCAAAAAACAAAAGGCCAGGGGCATGCACAAGATTCAATCCTTTGACACACACACACACACATAACCAGATGTCTATCAAATATATGTTGTTCCTACAATACTCCATATAAAATATATACTGATAGAAAAGGATATATCATGCAAAGAGCATAAAAGGCTGATACTAGTGTCAGATCAGATTACATTTCATATTATGGTGGAAAAAAAGTGAGTTTATCGGGAAGACAATGGTGATGGGTTGTTAAGCATTCAAATCCAGTAAGGAGAACTAGAGGCCTTAGCCATGGGAGCTGCCACATAACTGAACAAGAGGTTGGTCCAACCATCACAGTGCATGTGCTTATGGGAGCTTTGGGAGAGAAGTTCTGAATAGGCCAGGGTCCTCGATCTGGACAGAAAACACAGCCTAGGGCTCTCCATTGTTCTTGCCACAGTGGCCCTACAGACTATCAACCTTTCAGTGCCCCATGGAGATGGTCCAGAAAGAATGACTCTGCCCTTGGGGCTGGGGAGGAGATCCTCTCCTCTCCTTCCTTGACCCAAAACCCAGCGAGGACTCTGGTTGATCCAGTAAAGAGCACACACAAGTCCCCTATATAAAATGCCCTCCAGCTGCTTTTACCTCACTGTTGCTCTTACTTCCAGGCCTGGTCCAACAGTTGAGTGTGACACAGACAGGGTGACAGCTTGCTGAGAAAGGAAGGTGAGTCTTGCTGAGTAAGGGAGAGCTTAAGAACTGACCACACAATTTAGGCTGAGTAGAGAAAAGGGAAGGGACATAAAATGGGTGACTGGCAGTGAAAAACTGGGTCCCATTTAAGTGAAATTCTTACTGTGGGTCATAGGTGACTAGTGAAGGTGCGAGAAGGTGGCAGTGAAGGTGCTGTCACTGCGGCAAGAAACAGACAAAAACACATTCTATGCTGTGTTATTTTTAAGGTTGTTCAATGTTTCCACTCTAAATTGGAGAAAATATCCACCTAACTGTTCCCAAGTCTCATGTTCCTATGTTTTCCTCCACAGAAGGGAGCTGTGGCTTGATAACAAGGTCCTCTCACAGGGCGAGAGCAGGCTTTCTACCAGCAGGGTCATCTGTGCACTTGTCGTTTTGAAGGGAAAACCACTGATTTGACATCTGATGGTCTTGGCTTCCTACACAACATAGTGTTTTGGCAACTTAAGATGAAAAATAAAATTTTGTCGGAACGGAGAAAGTGATACAGCGTTTCTTTTTTGGCTGTATTTGCTTTTAATATAAATGCTGCTAAAATTCTGCTTGCATGGCTTCTATGAGCAATGAGCTGCATAGTAAAATGATTTTTTTTAAGAACCCCCAAACTAGCTCAAATCTCCATAGTAAACAGAACCTCCCAATGACACATTTTACATGCTCAAAACTCAACAGAAGAGGATCCTCAGCCTTCTTTGAACATATCTCACGACTCAGATCTTCCAGGTCCTGCTCCTTTGCATCCTTCCGATCTGGGACTCCCTTGTTTGCAAGTGTGTGCTTCACTTACTTTGAAACAAACACAATCAGTAGTCTTCTGAATGTTTCCGTGTGGCACAAGGCTCTTCCTTGCATGGGCATCACAGAGGGCTCTTCCGACTCCTAGAAGGGATGGGCGTGTGTGCACACTCACCTGCTGCCTGGCTCTGGTGAAGGGAACCTGGGAAACAGAAGCCTTGGGAACTGGGCTGCAATAGTCACCTGGCTCCAGGCTGGTAGTCACTTTCTTCATTCTTTCTTGCTTGAAGATCTTCAGTGAAAGATAAAAGCTGTATTTTGACATTCAAAACAGGATCTTCCCCAACAGCACTCTGCTCCCTGGAGGTTGGGGAGGATCCCTGCTGGAGCCCCGCAGCCCAGGCCTGTCACCTTTAGCACTGTCTGGGCTTTCCCCGGAACTGCTCCTTCAGGGTTACCTGCCCCAGCATGAGGCTTGCAGAGAATATGCACTGTTATCTGGTGCACTCAGAGGCCACAAGCCACGCTGGCTGCCGCACTCCGTCCATCAGACTGAACTGGCTACACATGTGCACTGTGTGGGATGTCATGCACTACACATACACTTGGAATAAAACCTGCACTTCAACTTGCCCTCACCTTTGCTCAGGGGTTGACAGGGTTACTGTCCATTATCAAGGCAGGCAGTGATCGGAATGACCTCTTAGACAATTATCCAGGTTGCAGAGCCAGATGAAGTAGCCTGCCTGATGAGGTAGCTTCTGATTCTCAAGTGCCTGGAGCAGTCCCTGGCACGTGGCCGTCCTCAAGAAGCATCTGCAGTAGGCATTTTGATGAGTAAGAGGCATACAATAGAACCACAGCTTTTCTCTTTCAGAACCTCTCAACTGCAATTATTTTACCCTGCTTTTCTGCTGGTATTTCTTTCTGGGTTTTTTTGTTTTGGTTTGTTTTGTTTAAGGCTCTTACATTTGATTTTTTTTTAAATTGAAGATGGCTTGCTTATAGCCCAGACTGGCCTGGATGTTCTATTGCATCCTCCTGCCTTTGCCACCAAGTGCTGAGATTTCAGCTGTGTACCATCATGCCCGGCTGATTTCTGGTTTTATTATAACTAATTTTTTACTTTAAGTCCTGTTTCTGGAAATAGCTTGTATTAAAAATAGAGGACAAGATAGAGAGGGTTTTCAGTCCCTAGAAACCCCACAGGGGAGTGCACTGTCTATCTGAAGACATTCCCTGACAGGTAGAGATAGCCCCTGCCCCACCTCAGGTGCCTGCTGTGAAGAGTCTTGTGGAGACTGATGACTAGTCCAGCGTGTCTTGGGGTGAGACAGAGAAAGCTCTTAGGGCAGAGGAGAGGTAGGTAGTTAAAGCTGAAAATAAAGTACAGGGCTCCAAATTTTCCCATCTCTGAAAGGTCAAAGGTGAGTTTTCGGTTCACCAATCCTAGAACCAACTGGGGTAAACTGCAATTTATCAGTAATATGCAGAGGAAACAATTTACTCACAGACTCAGGTCCTATTTAATCTCTGCAAGCTACCCAAAACTTGAAAGTCCTAGAGATATCTAAAGCTTAGCTGCCCTTATGCCTGAGGGAAAAAGGTGTCCAGAGGCAATACAGACAGAAGGAAAGGTGATGGGGAAAGAAATTTAAGACTAAGTGGAGGGCCAGATGCAGTGGCTCACACTTGTAATCCCAGCTATTTGGGAGGTGGAGATTAGGAAGATTGTGGGGGAAAAAGTTAGTGAGGTCCCAGCTCAACAAATAAACCGGGTGTAGTGGTTTGCACCTATAATCCCACCTATGTAGAAGGCAAAGGCAGGAGGACTGTGGTCCCAGACAGGCCCTGGGCAAAAGAAGACACTATCTGAAAAATAACTAAAACAAAAAATAAAAAGGGGTGTGGTCCTGGAGGCATGGTGACACCCAGAGTTCAAACTCAGTTCGGCAAAAAAAAAAAAAAAACCCGAAGCGGAATGTTAATGTTACAGAACACTAGCCCCTGAGGAGAGAGCAAGTTTCAAAGACAGAAGGGAAGTTGGTTTAAGAAAATCTGTATGCCTCTTAGGGCAGCAGAAAGACCAGCACCAGGAAGGCCAGGAGATCTGGGACTCTAAGCAAGTCCTTAGCCACTCAGAACCTCACTCTCTTCACTGTGAAATGTGGCTGTGAACAGTGCCCATGTCACAGGGCCATCACGTGGTGGGCAGGGTGTGGGATTGCCACATGCAACTTGCTCAACAGACGGTGACTTCCTCCTGTTCCAGGTGAAAGATGTGTGACTCCTGTGCCTGGCTGAGAGTGCCAGTGACTGCTGCTGGACCCTTCAGTAGACATTCTTACTCCTCTCCCTACAGAGGACAGATGTGAAATGCAAACGCAACACAAGCACAGCCCTGATCTTTGGTCGCAGACTACAGCATTTTCACATGCTAGCTTTCACTGCCCAAAAAGGGGAACGTAGTCATGAGTGGAATGATACGGACATGGGTCCTGATTAGGCTCACAGCCTGCAGTGAAAGTGGAAACCATCAGACACCATAAATTTAGCCCACCATGGTCTCCGAAACAAGAGTGATGATAGCTTCACAGAAGCTATGGAGAGCTGGGGTCAGGGGCACGGAGTGTCACGAAGGTTGAGACTCACCAGGGCTTGCAGCTTGGGACAGTGAATGGAGAGCTGGATGAGCGTGTTGTCGGTTATCTGCAGAGAAGCAAGCTGTGTCAGTATGGCTGCCACACCAGACCTTAGTACCCACCCCTGGCTTTCCCTCAACATGGGAATCAAAAGTGCAAAAGGAAATCAAAAGCTTATCTATGCACATCCCACCATCTCAAGTCTGCCCACCCCTACGAGGCAGGAGCTTCTGCTCTTGTGCCCCAAAGGGGCCTAGAGGCAGGGCACAAAGGAGTGGGTGAGGGGAGTTCCCTAGAACTCTCCTTTCTGAAGTCACCCCATCTCTGGACATGCAAGCTTATTTCTCCCACAAGTTTTGGGAAAAATAAAAGGAAAGTTTTTTAAATGTTTGAAAAAATTTCTTTGCTGAGTTCTGTCAGATGATCTGGGATAGCCAAACATTTACACACCCTACTGTCAGGGCTTAATAGGTTCCCAAGAACCCCCCACTGCCACCACCACAGTGTGCAGAAAGGGCAGGCAACTGTGCCTGTGGCTGTGACAGGCTACTCAGTGATGACTGAGGAGCTCTGAAGCACCATCAGGATCTCACTCACCAGGATACATTCTTCAAGGTCCATCTTCTCCAGGTCATGGCAATTCTGAAAGATTCCACAAGACATGCCTGCTGTGTGGGTCCATGGGTTGTCCATTGGTGGCTCACCCTGTCCCTCCAAGTACTGGCCCAGGGTCCTTGTTCTCTTCCATTAAGGACTACGCCCTGTTCTAGAGCCATCCAGTGAACCAGTACTTCTAAGTGGTGCCCCTTGAGTCACAGTCACTTTGGACATGGGAACAGGGCTGCCCTGGACTGCATTTCCTTCCCTCCACCACAGAATAGGGTGTAAGAGGGCCTGGGAAAAGGGCAGGGTGGCCATGGTCAATAGTGTGTACAGGCAGTGTCAAAGATGAAAGAGGGCAGCACAGAGCCCAGGGAGGGGATGCTGCAGACAGGCCAGGGAAGAGGCTCTGCTCAGGGAGGTTCCACCTGTCCCCATGACAATGAGCCCTAGATCCTCCTTTCCAGAATGCTCTACAGGCACTCCCAACCTTTTTGGCTCCCTGGGAAAAGTCTAAAACACACCTTTAAGGTTCTATTCTACTTTGTGCTCGTCTTTTCTGAAGCCAGTTTTTTGCACTTCCCAAAACCACACCAAGTGACTTTGAATTAGGGAGGTGAACTGGAATTTGGTTTGTTTTTTAAAATCTATGCCTTACCCGAGCTAAAAGTGTAAAGCCTGCATCAGTCAAATGGGAGCATCGTGCAGCCTCCAAAATTCTGGGGAGGGGCATGCAGGGAGAAAAAAGTACCGACTGGTTAACAACAGAAACACATTCTTTATGGAACACAGTCTTGAGTTTATTTGGCTCCTTGACACACTTCTGCTCTGACAATAGACCCAAGGGTGGTAGATATAAACACTAGCCCTGCTGGGCAGCAGGGGAGCATGAGACCACGGGTCCTGAGGGAAGCTCTGCCCAAACACTGACAATAAATCTACCAGCATTTTCAGAGTTTGTTCATGGAACCTAGAGCCTCACACATGCTAGGCAAGCATTCTACCACTGAGAAACACTCCAGCCCCTAAATATACTGTATTTATTGAAATCTTGTTATTCTATAGGAAATTTTAAAACTTTGTAGGCAATGAAAAACAGGAGCTTTTCATGCTTAATAGGGATCAATACACAAAAAAGAATTCTAAGTTAAACACTCCCTTTCAGCAGTAACTCTGACCTGTTCTCTGACTAGTTGGGTTTTTTTCAAGGCGTGGCCACACTGGGACTGAACCCAGGGACTCATGCATGCTAAGCACACATACTACCACTGTGTTACACCCCCAGTCCTCTGACCAGTTTTCATCAACCAGATTCCTTCTACTAAGCAGAAATATCAAAATTATCTAGAATCTTCCCTAATGCAACAGTAAGAAAAAATAAGCAGAGTAGATAATTCTTTTTTTTTTTTTTTTTTTTTTGTGGTACTGGGGTTTGAAGTCAAGACCTTATGTTTGCTGGGCAAGTGTTCGTAACACTTGAGTCATGCCCCCAAGTCTTCGGAATAGATTATTCTTAAAAGATAAGTGATGTAAGCAAGAAAATGGATCAGTTTTACTAGTTTGTAAAACACAAGGTTTTGGGGGTTCTTTTCCCCCTCTCCTCTTGGATAGGGGTTAAAATTGCTGATTTTGAAATCAAACTCTTAAGTTCAAATTCTCGTCTTTCTTCTTATTCATCATAGGACCTTGGATAAATTGTGTGCTTTTTCTCTCAATCTGTTTCTCTGCTGCAAACAGAAGACAGTAGCACCTGCATACAGAGGTGTGTTGAGGTGAAGACGAGATGATGCTTACAGCAGCATCTACCAGAGCCAGCTCCATGTGTAGGCTCAAAGTTAGCTGTGAGCAGTTTATAATGGTCATAGCTCATAATGGTAATGCATTACCTTGAGAATCAGAAAATAAGTGATTACTTTTTAAGGCAAAACAAAACTTTCTTCCTATCAGAGAAGATGATTAATAAGAAGGTTACTGTGATCTTTTTCCCTTGCTTGTCTGCTAGCTGAAGTCTAGAGAAGACTCTGGGACATCTGCATGCAAGGCTATCACTTGGCGCCACCGAGTAAAAAGCACTGAATACTCACTGCAGTCGGGGGCAGTTCAGCCCCAGGGCTGTGAGAGATGCATCAGTGAGGCTGCTGCAGCCCGAGAGGCAGAGGGCCTGCAGTCTGTGGCAGCCCCTGCATATCTGCACCACACCTTCGTCCGTGACACGCTAGGGAAAAGAAGACAAGAAAGAAAGTCAGGGACACCAGGACTAGCACAGGAGAAGCAGAAAGGTGGGATCCACTGCTGCTCAGTGAGCTCTATGGCTTTACTAGAGCTTCATCCTAGTAACATACACAAAACAGGAGACAGGGCAAGTGTGACCTGCATTGTCTCCATACCACTTTCAAAGACTCTGCATTACCAATGGAGAGTAGAAGTCTAAAATTCCAACCTTGGTTCATCAAAGGAGAGAGAATATTTTCTTCAGGAAAAATTCATAAACTTGTGATAAAACACAAGATTAAATAAAGAGGTCATGAGATTTCCTAGTTAAGTGACATATTAATATTTGGTTGATTATCTACAGAATAATGCCTTAAATGCTAGCCATACAAGTCACATGTCTGTATACTGTATCTTCTCAATGATTAGAGAACAGGAAAATTAAATCACTTAGTTATTGATAAATCCCTTAAAATTCTCTTAACTTAGCCATGAGATTCAAAGTACTATCTTCACTTAAGTATTCTAATGCATGTAGAGATAAACATGCACATCTGCCAGGGGCTTCGAGCATCTGCCGTGCTGCACTAATCCAATGCAAGTCCTACTTTTGAACCTCTCAGGCCCATGAAGTCAAGATTTGTCCTGACCATTGTTTATGTTCTTACTCCCAGCATCAGGAATGCACTCACTGAAAGCCAAATGCAAATCTTTCTCCACATCTTATGCACTCCCTTGAGAAAGCCAACAGGATGTGGTTAGCTCACACCTTGCTCAATGCTGACAGCAGCATTTTCATAGCATGATTTTATTTTATCCACTGAGAAATCAGAGGCATCATCATGCCCAGTTTATAAGTTGAAAACAAGAACACATGAAGACTTATCTAGTTCACAGTATTCCTATTTCCTCACTACTCTTGAAAAAAAAAAAAGAACCCAAGACCCTAATCCCAGCTACTCAGAGGCAGAGATCAGGAGAATGGTGATGCGAGGCCAGCCCAGGCAAAAAGTGTACCCCTATCTCAACAAAAAGCTAGGCATGGTGGTACATGCTTATAATTCCCACTATGGGGAAGAGTATAGGTCGAACTGTAGTCCAAGTCCAGTCTCAGGCAATAAAAAGTGAGAGTCTACTGGAAAAATAACTAAAGCAAAAAGGGCTAGAAATTGTGGCTCAAGTGGCCCTGAGTCCAAATCCAAAAATAAATAAATAAATAAATAAATAAATAAATAAATAAAGACCTGATTTGTATGATTTTTGGAGATGTCAGAGTGGTTCTGTATTGAATATGATGACTTACTATTGTTCTTTCATCTCATGGCAAACTAAGAACACACATCAGGTTGAGAGGTGCCAGCCACTGGGCAGATTTCTGAGAGGGAGCAAGGAGGACAGTGCAGGCAGGAGAGGCTGTTACTTACCGAGCAGGACTGCAAGTTGAGGCTCACAAGCTCGTGGCAGTAGTTCTGAATGTGTTTTAGAGCTTCATCATCTAACTGAGTAGATAAAGAAACCAAAAGTTTAGGGACAGAATCCAGGTGAGAGAACAAGTCAGAACCAAGACAAAGGGGGCAGCAAGAAAAACCCAATCCCCAGGCTTACAGCTGAATCTGTCCTCTGTACCTGGGTGCAGCCCCTCAGGAGCAGGGCTTTTAGGCCTCGACATCCTCGCACCAGTGTCTCGATGCCATCCTTTGTGATCTGATCGCACCAAGACAGGTTCAGATATTCCAGGTTTCGGCAGCCCTCACTGAGAGAAGAAGGAAGAAAACACCCCTGAGCAGCCTCTTTTTGACAGTTTAGTATTAGCTTAGAGTTTAGTTTATCATAGCAATTCAGGGAGGAGACAACTGGGACCTGTCTGAGCTGAGCTGCCTGCTTCTTGCTCCAATGGGACCATTAGGAAAGCTCTGGACACACAGGAATGTTCACCACCTTGGGGATTTTGATGCTTGCAAGGGACAGGCACTCTTACCTGATGCCCTTTAAGGAGCTGTTTGTAATGGACACGCAGGAGGTCAGATCCAGGTGTTTCAGCTTAGAACAGAATCTGCTAAGGCTATAACACGTGCTGGAAAAAAGCAGACACACTAAAGGTATTTTCAACCATGATTCTCTCCTCTCACATTCCCATGGCCACTTATCCCCAAACGAACCTCACTACTTACCTGTCAGTGATTTTAGTACACCCATTGAGATTTAAATGTTCAATGTTTCGGCAGTTCTGTGCAAAGGTCCTAAAATGAGAAAATGTTTTAAAACTTCCTGTAAGTTGCTAGGCAGCCACTAGAGGGCACATGTAACCATTCACTGGGTACACAGCTTCTTTTATTTATTTATTTATTTATTTTTAAATTTTATTATTCATATGTGCATACAAGGCTTGGGTCATTTCTCCCCCCTGCCCCACCCCCTCCCTTACCACCCACTCCGCCCCCTCCCTCTCCTCCCTACCCCCTCAATACCCAGCAGAAACTATTTTGCCCTTATTTCTAATTTTGTTGTAGAGAGAGTATAAGCAATAATAGGAAGGAACAAGGGTTTTTGCTGGTTGAGATAAGGATAGCTATACAGGGAGTTGACTCACATTAATTTCCTGTGCGTGTGTGTTACCTTCTAGGTTAATTCTTTTTGATCTCACCTTTTCTCTAGATCTTGGTCCCCTTTTCCTATTGGCTTCAGTTGCTTTTAAGGTATCTGCTTTAGTTTCTCTGTGTTAAGGGCAACAAATGCTAGCTAATTTTTTAGGTGTCTTACCTATCCTCACCCCTCCCTTGTGTGCTAAAGCTTTTATCATGTGCTCAAAGTCCAATCCCATTGTTGTGTTTGCCCTTGATCTAATGTCCACATATGAGGGAGAACATATGATTTTTGGTCTTTTGGGCCAGGCTAACCTCACTCAGAATGATGTTCTCCAATTCCATCCACTTACCAGCGAATGATAACATTTCGTTCTTCTTCATGGCTGCATAAAATTCCATTGGGTACACAGCTTCTTAAACTTTAATTCACGTGCACACAAACTGGCTAACTGTCCAAGTACAGATTCTAACCATAGCTTCAGAATGGGCTTTGTAACTGTCCGTTCCACAAAGCTCCCAGACAATGCCATTGCTGCTAGTCTAGGACCACACTTTGAGAAGCTGAGCTGCAGGCTCACAACCTATCAATTGGCCATCCTTGGTGAGTCAATTAAATGGGACTGAAGGTCTGGCTCCCTTTTTCTTCTCTATAGAATGATCAGTTTGATGGCCAGGCACAGTGGCTCACAACTGTACTCCTAGCTATTTGGGAGGCAGAGATTGGGAGGATCAAGACTCAAGATGGACACAGGCAAAAAAATCTGCGAGACCCCCATCTCAACCAATAAAAAGCTGGGAGTGGTGGCATACCTAGCATCCCAGAATAAATAGGAAGGAAGCATAAACAGAAGGATTAAGATTCAGACTGGACCAAGAATAAACATGAGATATCCATCAAGAACACAAACAACAAATGTTAGGGAGGATATGGGGAAAAATGAAACCTCATACAATGCTGGGGGTGGGGGGATGTAAATTAGTACAACCAGTCTGGAAAACAGTATGGAGGCTACTAAAGAAACTAAAACTAGAACTGCCATATGATCCGGCAATACCGGTCCTAGGGATATACCTGAAGGAATGTGAGTCAGGAAACAGTAAAGACAATTGCATATCCATATTCACTGAAGCATTGTTCATATTAGCTAAGTTATAGAAACAGTCAAGAAGCCCCACAACTGATGAATGGATTAAGAAAACGTGGTATTTATATATAATGGACTTTTATTCAGCCACAAAGAATTATGAAATTTTGTCATTTGCAGGTAAGTGATGGAACTGGAGAACATCATCATAAGTGAAGTTAGCCAGGTTCAGAAAGCCAAAGGCCACATGTTTTCTTATATGTGGAATATAAGCCCAATACAAATACAAGCAATATTATGAAAAATGGATCACTCTAAGGAAAGGTCACTAATGGGAAAAGGGGGGTAGAAGAAGGAAGTTAAGGTGAATATGGTTGATGTACTTTCTATACAAGAATAAATATAGAATTTTTAAACCTATTGAAATTACTGTAAGAAGAGGACTAAGGCAGAAAGAAAAAAATAGAGGGGATGAACCAATTTAGGTTATAATACATATATACATGTAAATGTCATGATGAAACTCCCTGTATAGCTATCTTAAACAAAAATGTCTTTTTTCAAAAACAGAGAACAGGAAGGTAAACAGTCCTGTTTGGAGGTTGGCACCAGTGGCCAGCGGGCGGGGGGAGGGAGGGGAGGATGTAAGGAAAGGGGTAAAGGGTGGAGGAGGGGAATATGGTGGAAATATTATGTACTCATGTATGGAAATGGAAAATTGAGATCTGTTGAAAACTATTCTGGAAATAGAGGGAGGGGAGATAAAAGAGAATGATGGAGGGGGTGAATTCAACTGCGATATATTGTAAGAACTTTTGTAAATGTCACAATGAACCCCAAATATAACAATAACTTTAAAAAGTGATTTAGAAAGATAAAAAGCTTTTTACCTAAAGCAAAAAGGTTAGGGAGTGTGGCCCAAGTGGTAGAGCTCCTACCTAGAAAGCACAGGGTCTGAGTTTAGACTCCAGTACCACCAAAAAACAAAAACAAAAATTGAAGTAAGAGGGCTAAAGAGTATTTATAGAAAGATAAAAATGTCCTACAGCTGACAAAGGAAAATTAACAATCCCTAGTATCAAACAAAAAATTGCTAAGCTTTCAAGGAAGGAGGAAAATATATTCATAATGAAGAGAAAATTCATTCTATCAAAACCTACCCAAGCTGGGCACCAGTGGCTCACACCAGTCATCCTAGCTACTTGAGAGGCTGAGACCAAGAGGATCACAGTTCCAGGCCAATCATAGGCAAATACTGTGCGAGACCCCATCTCCAAAAACTAACCAGAGCAAACTGGACTGAAGTGTGTGTGGTTCAAGTAGCAGAGCACCTGCTTTGCAAACTTGAAACCCTGAGCACAAACACCAGTCCAACCAAAAAAAAAAAAGATGGATGCCAGGGGCAGCTGTAATCCTAGCTGCTCAGGAGGCAGAGATCAGGAGGATGGCAGTTTGAAGCCAGCCTGGGCAAATAGTTCATGAGACCCTATCTCAAAAAAACCCATCACAAAAAAAGGGTTGGTGGAGTGAGTCAAGGTATAGGCCCTGAGTTCAAGCCCCAGACCACAAAAAAAAAAAAAAAAACCTACCCAAAATTGACACAGGTAGCAGAAATAGCAGAAATATTACTATAACTGTATTATTGTACCTTATTACACAGAATACCTTTCTATGACACTAAAGATTAAATACGTTATGTAGAGATACAAAATGTATTTTTCTAAAAAGATTTACAATTAAACTTTTACATAAGAAAACCACAATGGTTAAAATGCAGATTTACTGAATGGGATTAACAGATTCCATGTGGTAGACAAAATGGTAAATTTGAAGCCATATAAATAGAAATAACATTATCAATAGCTGGGTTGCAGGTGTAGCTCAGTGGTAGAGTGCTCGCCCAGTATACACAAGGCCCTGAGTTCCATCCCCAGCACCATTTAGAACAAAACAAAAAAAAAGCCAGGCACTGGTAGCTTATGCCTGCTGTAATCCTAGCTATTCAGAAAGCAGAGATCAGGAGGATCCCATTCGAAGCCAGCCAAGGCAAATAGTTTGTAAGAACCTATCTCAAAAAAACACATCACAAAAAGGGGCTGGTGGAGTGGCTCAAGGTGTAGGCCCCAAGTTCAAACCCCAGTACTGCAAAAAAAAAAAAAAAAAAAAAAAAAAAGAAATGAACAAAAATTAATAGCATTTCTACTTCTAATAATTAAAAATATGCCATTTGCAATAGCATTTCAAAATACTTACAGACAAATATGGCCAATATATGTAAAAGTTTTACACTGAGAAACATTTAAAACAAAGACATGTATACTCTCTCTACAACAAAATTAGAGATAAGGGCAAAATAGTTTCTGCTGGGTATTGAGGGGGGGAGCGGGAGGGGGTGGAGTGGGTGGTAAGTGAGGGGGCGGGGGCAGGGGGGAGAAATGAACCAAGCCTTGTATGCACATATGAATAATAAAAGAAAAATGAAAAAATAAATAAATAAATAAATAAATAAAACAAAGACATGGAAAGAGGTGTAAGTTCATGAGGTGGAGACTCAGTACAGCTGATCCGTGCATTCAGCACCAGCCTGATCAAGACCCCAGCAGGTATATATAGAAATTACAAGCACATTCTTATAATTCATATGAAAATGTAAAGGGCCCACAATAGTCAAAACAGCTCTGAAAAAGAATTAGTTGGAAGACTAACACCGCCTCATTTCAAGACATTATAAAGGAAAAAAAAAAAAAGACATTATAAAGCAACAGTTTTAAGACAGTGTGGTTTGGTATAAAGAAAAATAAATACATCAATGAAAACAGTTCCATACACATACGTAAAACTAATTTTCCACAAAAGCATGAAAGTAGTTCAATGGAGAAAAAGTGGTCATTTCAACAAATGGTGCTAGAACAACTGGACATTCATAGGCAAACAAACAAACAAGTCACACTTCAATCTGTACTTTGTATCATATTAAAAATCAACTCAGGCGTTAGGGATGTGGCTCAGTGACAGAGCACTTGCCCAGGCATTCACACACACACCGTCATAAAAAAAAAAAAAAAAAAAAAAAAAAAACCCTGCAAAACAGGTAAATGGATCTGTGATCTAAACTATAAAACTTCCAGAAGAAAGGAGAGAGCTTTATGACCTTGGACTAGCTAACAATTTCTTATGGAACATGGTTTTTGGTGTTACATATAAGACAAAAAAAAAAAAACTGGTAAGCAGAATTTCATTAAAATAAAAAATTTCTCTTTAAACAAGCAGCTAATAGAATGACAGGATATGCCATACACAGAAAAAATAGTTGCAAAGCACTTATCTGACAAAGGACTTGTATGTAGAACATATTAAAGGCACTCAGCAGTTAGTAAAAACAATGGGCAAAAGATCTGACCAGACATTTCACCAAAGAAGATAGGTGAATAACAAATAAATATGTAGAAAGATGCTCAATAGCCTTAATCATTAGAGAAATGCAAATTAAACTGTAATAAAATAACCACTGCACACTACAGAACAAGTAACATTTAGACAGACTGACCAAAGGCTGATAAGCATGTGGAAGAACCTAAGTATCACACATTGCTGGTGGGGGTTTAAAATGGTACAATCTCTTCAGAAAACAGTTTGGAAGTTTCGTGAAAAGTTAAAGATGGGCATGGCTGTGTAAACCTGCAATCCTGGCACTCAGGAGGCTAAGGCAGGAGCTCAGGCTGGCCAAGTTTAAGGCCACCTTGGGCTACACACCCATGTTTATTGCAGCACTGTCTGAATACACACCAAAAAGTTAGTGTGAGGCCCTAAATTCAATGCCAGTACTGGAGAGGGAGGGGAGGAGACGGGAGGAAGAGAAGGTAAACATACACTTACCAAATAATCTAGCCATTAGACTGCTAAGTATTTATCCAGGAGAAATAAAACCATGAGTCATATACTCATAGAAGCTTTTTTTGGTAACAGCCCAAACTGGAAAGAATCCAAATGCCCATAAACAGATAAATGAATACATTGTAGTACAGATGAGTCCTGATTTATGACAGTTTGACTTATGATTTATTGACTTCATGATGGCAGGTAAGTGATACACATTTAGTAGAACTCACACTTGATTTATTTTTTCCTTCCTGAGTTAGCAATATCCAGTAGGAGACTCTGTGTGATACTGGGCAATGGCAGCCAGTGAGCTGCAACTCCCAGTCTGTCACAGGACCTCAAGAGTAAACAATTGAAATTCTATGGTGTGCTGTGTTGCATTTTTTGCAATACAGTTGGCACACCATAAAGGCATTCAATAAATTGCATGAGCTCTTCAATATTTTATTATAAAACAGGCTTTGTGCTAGATGACTTTGCTCAATTGTAGGTTAATGTGAGCATTCTAAGCAAACTAAGGCTTGGCTAAGCTCTGATACTGATGGGTTAGGGATATTAAATGTAATTTCAACTTAAGATAGGTTTATCAGAACACAGCTGAATTACCAGTGGAGGAACATCTGTACATCAGCAATAAATGGAAAGAAATGTCAATATACACAACTCATGAAGGACTCTCATAGCAATTATGCAGGCAAAAGGGAGCACAACTGTCCCTCAGTATGTATAGGGACTGGCTTTACTACCTCCCTCCATATCAAAATCTGCTGATGCTCACCAGTACCTTGTGTTAAAAGGCCTAGTATTTGTGTATGTACATCTTCCCACGTGCTTTAGTCATCTCTGGATTACTTATGATAACTACTGCAACAGCTGTGTAAATAGCTGTTATGCTGCATGGTTTAGAGGATAATGACAAGGGTCCATATCAGTTTAGTACAGACACAACCTTTTTTGTACATATATTTTCAATCTGTGGTTGGTGAATACATGAACATGGAACCCACAGCCACAGAAGGTTCACTGTATGATTGTACAGTATGATTAAACTCATGACATTAATACTTGGTTTTACCCTATTTTGTTTACTACTGTACCTCCACTGCCTAAATCAGTTTGTTGAGTTCTAGTAGGGCTCAACAAACATTTGTAAATGAATAGCTCCCTCCCACCAAAACACCACCATCACACATGTGGGGCAAAGTAGAGGCCAAGGCTGCTTCTAGATGGTTATTACAATATACTGGCAGCATAACAAAATTTCTTTTCAGTCATGACTTTGTGACTATGCTTATTATTATTTCATAATAATTTGATCTTCAGACATAAATATGCACAGGTAGCCAACCAATTAATATAGATTCTTGCTGTAAAACACAGAATAAACTAATAAACATTTTTAGACTCAGAAGATTGCTTTGCTACTAGCTATGGCTTTTTATTCCAATTGCCAAGATAAGAATTCTTTAAAAAAATTTTTTTTTTTACTTTTTGGTGGTACTGAGGTACGAACTCAGGGCCTTGAGATTGCTAGGTCAGCACTCTACCACTAAAACCACACTCCCAGTCCTTCTTTTTCCTTTAGTTATTTTTCGGATAGAGTCTTATATTTTTTCTCAGACTTCTATTCAATTACCTATGCCTCCTACCATATTGGAATTATAGGAACATGCTACCATGCTTGGTCCAAGAACGTATTTCTTTGATATCCCTCATTGACAATGCACATTTTCATATTTAGTTCCTTAAATGGAACCAGTATTAGATTTATGTTATTTATTATAAGTTATCTTGGGATTTATTGGTACATTTATGCTTCCTGTTATGATAGAGTCAATCCATTGCACTGGTTTACAAAGCTTCCCTCCCTTCCCCTCCAGTGAACCCAAGGCTTCCTCATGAAAGCTGGGGAACAGCTCTATATCCTGAACCACACCCTCAGCCGTACAAAACTTTTGAAGCAGCAGAAATCTAATGTAAAGGCATGAATTCTTTGATTAAAAAAAAAACCCTTTGTTCTACAACATTTGACCCTTAAAATACGTTGTGAGTCAGTTTTCTAAGCAACAGTGTGGTAGATGTTTGAATTACAAATGCTATTGACTGCATTCACAATATATAGCGCATTCTTACTGGTGGTGAGTAATGTACACTAAGGTAATGCTTAGGTCTGAGGGGCATGTCCTAATTCAGTCAATCTCAGAAGCAATACTAAAGACCACAAGGATAAGGGTGTGAAGGCTCTAATCATGTCTGTCTCAAGAAAACCTCAAAGAATATAAGCATAATAGTGGCTTGATAACATTTTCAACAAACAATGACTATCCAAGGCTGGCAGAGTGGCTCAAGTGGTAGAGCACCTGCTTAGTAAGCATGAGGCCCTGAGTTCAAATCCCAATATCACCAAAAAGAAATGACTATCCAGTAAAAAGGAAGCATGTACTAAGTTGGACAGGATATATTACTAACTGTAATTTAAAAAACAAATACAATAATCTCATCCCATTATGAGTACGCAAAATTCTAGCTTATGCTAAGGAAATTTTTGAAAGAATTATTTTACAAATTAGTATAATTTTGTAAGTAACCAGGAAGATTAGAAAATGGAGAAGAAAATAGAAGAGAGGGGAACATTGTATCACAATGCCAGGCACTGATATGCCAGGCGTTTCACATGTTATTTCATGGATGCCCATGGCACTCCTGTGTACCTGTGTATGCACTGTAACTGCCTGCCATACACACAAGAGAGCCAGGCGAAATCATGTCTCCCAATACGGACATCCCTAACAGCACTGGAGCTCACATGCTATTCCAAAGTCATGCTTCTCTCATTGTGCTACACAAAGTGCCTCAGAAAGAATTTAACAGTAGAACAGCATATACTATACTTGGTTTATTTTTGCTGCCATGACAAAATGGTCACTGGATTTCACTCACTTCAGGGAGGAATCGCCAACACCAATGCAGCCTCGCAAGCTGAGCTTCCTCAGGAACCCACCACATCGCTTCGAGATGTTTTCTACCACTCGACCCTTGAATGGAAAAAGGCATCACTTTTTCATGCTGCTTATCTAATAGCAAAATGACCTGAAATTTAAGAACTGAATATTTTTTTTCAAGTTTAAAAGGAAATGTTTTGAGCATTCTTTCAGCCCTGAGTTCTAGCACACAAAGAACTGCAAGCCTTGAAAAACATTTTCAGCTAAAGCGTTAAGTATTCTTTGAAAGAGTCTATGCACTCCTTTTGAGAACCTCAGCTCTGGGGTTAGCTCTCCACCACCCAGTGATCACAACTATCTCTTCAGTCACAGGCTCTAAGGTCAACTGCAGGGACACTGGCCAGAGCTACATCTAAAACATGTTGCATTCCTATTACGGCTTATACTCTCTCTACAACAAAATTAGAAATAAGGGCAAAATAGTTTCTGCTGGGTATTGAGGGGGTGGGGGGGAGAGGGAGGGGGTGGAGTGGGTGGTAAGGGAGGGGGGTGGGGGCAGGGGGGAGAAATGACCCAAGCCTTGTATGCACATATGAATAATAAAAGAAAAAAAATAAATAAAACATGTTGCATGAAAGGGAGATCCTACTTTGGCTAAACATAACCACTCTAAAAGTATGAAGATGTATTGTAAAAACCCCCACCATTCTCCTTAGTAATTCCCTATTTAAACAGATTTTCTGTGAAAAAAGAACCTTTGCCAAATGCCAGCAGAGAAATTACAGGAGGCAAAAAGCAAATGGACATTCATGAAGCATTTCCACTTTTCAGACAACAATTTTATCTATTTCTTGTACCTATTATGGCTCATTTAATGTGTACAAAAACTTCATGAACTACTACTGACAAAAGAGGTAAGGAAGGCTATGTCTGGAATACAGGAGATGTCTTGTGATTAAGGTAAAAAGCACACAATCCAAGCAGGTGTACTGGTGCCCAGATCCTTCAGGAATGAAGGGCTGGGTCACTGCACCAGGGAGGGAACCATCACCAGCTGAGGTGTTTGCTGAGGGCAAAGGGAGTACAGACCGAGTGCAGGAGAAGGAAGTCATGAATACCAGGTACGACCTGACCTCCCTGCAAAAGAAGTCATTTTGTTTTGAGTATTAGTCTCAAGTCATAAGAAGCGATCCTGTCTATGTGCAGCCTGGAACCTCCTGTACACGTCCGTTTCCAGCTGGTCTATTCCTGCGCCCACGATGCTCCAGCCAACGTGGTGAGTGTTCCTACAACCCCGATGCACCAACCCCACAAGGTGACATAGGAACATCTATGAAGGGAGAACCAGGGCTGTGGGGCAGACTATGCCCTTTTCAGAAAACCACTAAAACTGGAAAGAGGTTGAGGTGCACTGTGTGCCTGGCACCGACTACAGATGAGAAAAAGGGAAAAGGCCAGGCGATCCTGTTCTAAGCCTCATCTTTTGTTTTGTTAAGAAGACAATAAAATGAGGCTACATTCAGTTCACACATGTAAAGTGTTTAGAACAATGCTGTTCTAAGTAGTGTTAGTGTGCTCACCCTGACCCGTGGTACCTTCTCTCTTCTCTCAACGTATCACCATTTCCTTCAAAAAGAGCAGGTCTTTTTGAAGACCATCTGCTTATCCACAGAGTGATACCCAGGCTGAGTATCCAGACTTGTCTTGTTTAAAGACTATAGGAGGCCCCTGCACTTGGTTCATAATTCACCTGGATTTAAGGTGGTAGTCCCAAAGAGAAACTAAATGATACGAGTCTAGACTGAAACCTAGTCTAGACTAGGTTTTCCCATGTGATTATTTAAACAACTAGTGAATCATAAACTGGCCTCTTCTTCAGTACTGCTGACATGTATATCTAGCAGTTAGATGAACATCAGTTGTCAGCTAAAATTCTGCAAATAATGAACAAAGTAATGATATTTACTTGACATAGTATTTTTAAATATCTGAACTTAAAAGTTCTTCATATATGCTTTCCAAAAAGTTACACAGTTTGGAAAAAATTCATCAAAGTCTTCTAAGTTAACTAACTTACCTCAACATCTGTTTGAAAGTTAAAAAGATCTATTCTTTGCCAGTTGCTTCCATCGAGGGCTAAGATGTTCCAAGCCTGGGAGGTGAGGTAAAAGAAGGATGGGGTGAAGATATATTTATTGAGACTGTTAAAAGTCTTGTCTCAACCTTTGTATTTACAAATTTTTGTTTCTGGTGTATTTCAAGTTAATAAATGTAGAATTACAACATTGTGATATATATGTATGTGTGTGTGTGTGTAATATATTTAAAAGATAATGACACTTTAATAGTTTGAACTAACACTCATTCTTATTCTAATAAAACTAGATATTTATAATCTAATGAATACTCTACCTTGGAAATCTGTGCACATCGACACAAAGTTACTATGTCCAAGAAGGAAAATATTCTAGAAAGACAGGGAAAAAACAAAAAACAAGTGTGTTAACATTTTAGGATAATTGTAACTTGAAAGATAAAATCTAAAACACCATCTGAGCCAGGCACTGGTGGCACACCCCTGTAATGTTAGCTACTTGGGAAGCAGAGATTAGGAGGACTGAGGTTCTGAAGCCAGCTGAGGGCAAACAGTTCAATACCCTATCTCAAAAAAACCCAACACAGAGCAAGGCTGGCAGAGTGGCTCAAGTGGTAGAGCATATCTAGCAAGTGTGAGACCCTGAGTTCAAACCTCAGTACTGCCAAATAAATAAATGAATGAAGCAAGCACCATCTGGATGTGGAAGTTTTTCAAGATTCCTCAATTTGCAACACACAAATGTACAATAATTTTACATCATCACTGAAATATTAAATCCCTGATGTTTATAAGCTATTTAGACACACTATACAAATTCTCTTAAAACAGAACTCATTAACCTTTTGTTCCCTTATTCTGGGAAAGTAGTTCCATTTGAAGATCTGTAACCTCCCAAATACTGAGCCTGGGATAACTGAATCCTTCTAATTCTAACATCCCTAACACACAACACAAATTCTTCTTTTTCCTTAATAACATTTTTATTACCATGTATTAGTTGTACAGTGGATTTCATTGTCACATTTCCATATATGCTTACAATATACCCTGACTAGAAATCATTCTCTCCATCATTCTCCCCCGCTACACCTTCAACAATTTCAACAGGTTTCCCTGTTCTGTTTTCATACAAGTATATAAAGTACATCGATCATATTCCCACTCCTTCACCCTCTCCATTCACCCTTCCCCTTCCACTGTTACCCATCCCTTAACAGGACATTTTACATTCCTGTCTTTTACTTTTCAAGTGTATACTCATTGTACAAAGGGGTTTTGCTATGGTATTTCACCCATGAACATATGGTCATTACTCTATTACTCTCCCTTCACCAGCCCTACCCTCTATTAATCAATAGCTTTCAGTGTGTTTCATTATGCTGTCTTCCTATGCAGATGAAATGTATTTTGGTATTAGTCACTATCATTGTCTTTTCCTTTTCCTCCTCCCCTTAAGTCCGTTCAAACAGTCCCACTATTACAGGCATGTTCTATGTGTGTGTGTGTGCGACAATGAAACGCCTCTTTTATGATAGATGCACCACAAGGCTCAGATGTTTGAGCCTCAAATAACATGGCTAAAAAAACTCAATGATGCTCATTTGGTTGGGTGTATTTGTTCACTTGGCAAAAAGATGGAGCTCATCAGATGGCATGGTCTTTAAGTGAAAAGTTTTTCCCAAGCAAAAGCCAACATACCACAGAGATGAAAAAGATGGTGGAAAAGAAAAGCAAAGAGAAGCAAACAAAAATCTAGTTGCCATCAGTAATGCCTGACAGAGGAAGCAGTAGCTGCCAAGGTGGCAAAAATCTGAGGGCAGTAGAGGAGAGGAGCTGCTGCTGACAGCAGCATGGACAAATAGTGTGAGCACCTCAGTGCTGCTGAGTGACCACTGAAACAAAGAGCAGCTCTTCTGAGAGAAGGGTGGATGGGGTGAGGTCTAGGACAATTCTGTGTTTCAATTCTGGTAGTCCTGGAAGGTAAAGTAAGAGTCTGTGCCTGAGTGTGAAAGGGGGAGATGGATGAGACTGCAAACAGCCACCTCAAAATTAAAGTTCCTCAAAATTCTTCACAGTGACAATCAGTGATGAGTTAAAAATCCATGGGCTCAGAGATGGAATCCTAAAACACCAATCTGCTGGGTGCTAAAATGATGAATCCATAAGCAGCACCATGGGACTAGAGATTGCACAGATGTCACTCTCCAACGAAGGCTCTAGTGAACAGCAAGCAATAGAAGTAGAATAAGGCCTACACTGAAATTAAAAGGCTTAGTGGATCTTAGTGCATAAGAAAATGTTCATGGCTGAAATATGTGCACCTAAATATTTATGTATGAAAATACAAGTTGCTTGCTTATCCTTTCATTATATTGACATCTTAGTTGCTTCCAGTTTGCAGTGATTATGAATGCTATTACAAGCATTTGCTTGCAGGCTTTTGTGCAGATATAACTTCTACTAATTTGGATAAATATCTAGGAGCGTGATTGCTAGATTGTGTAAATTTAGCTTTGTGAAAGACTACCAAACTATCTTCCAGAATAGCTGAATCATTTTGAATACCCACCAGCAACAAATGGGCCTGCTGCTCTGCCTCCTTCCACTGCTTTGTACTGTTGAGCATCTTTTCATATGCTTATGTGTCATCTGTATAACTTCTTTGTTGTCCATTCAGATGTTTTAGTATGTGGCTTGCACTTTCATTCTTTTTTTTTGGTGTTAACATTTTTGCTTGTTTTGGTGGTACTGGGGTTTGAATCAATTCAATCCTCACACCTTCTACCATTTGAGCCACACTGCAGCCCTTACCTTTTCATCTTTTATCTTTTTTTGCACAAGGAGAAAGGCAATTTTGCTCTTTATAAAAAATGTTTGAGGAAAGGCATACCCTGGCCACATCTCCTGTCCTAAGCAGGGATCTGAGATGAGGCCAGGTCTGAACTTAGAAGCATGCTACCATGCTGTCTCCAATTTATCTTTTTTTTTTTTTTCTCTCAGTACTAGGGTTTGAACTCAGAGTCTTGTGTTTTCCAGCTAGACACTCTACTAGTTAAGCCATATCCCGTCTTTTTTTGCTTTAGGTATTTTTCAGATAGGGTCAAACTGACACCCATGCTGGCCTGAACCGCAATCCTATTTATGTTTCCCCTATAGCTGAAGGATGGGCACCAGCACTACGCCAGGCTTTTATTGGTTGGGATGGGGTCTTGTAAACCACAATCCTCGTATCTCTGCCTCTGCAGTACCTAGGATTATAGATGTGAGCCAATACGCTTGACCACCATTTTTTTTTAATGGTTATGAAGATATGGTATGTCTTCTTGAAGTTAAGAGATATTCATGTACATTTTCTTCTAGAATACTTGCTGTCTTACCATTCACATTTAAATTTCTGAATCACTTCAAATTACTCTTTGCATATATTCTGAAGTAGGTATTAGGATTTTTTTCTTTATTCAATTGACTGAGCACACTACTGAAATGTCCTTTTTTTTTTTTCAGGAAACTGTAATATCCTTTTATTGTAAATCAACTGACCCTGTGTAAATGTTTCTGGGATTTTGTTTGTGCCAATGAGTATATGTCTTTCCTCACACCAATACTACTTTATTATATTAGTTTGCTAGTATGGTTTCACATATGTTTTTGCTCTTGTTCTTTTTGAGATTGTATTGGTTATTCTAGGTCTTATACATTTCATATAAAACTTAGAATCAACCAATTTCCAAACAAAGAATTGTGGGGCTATGATTAAAATTGTTTTGAATCTATAGCTAAAGCTTACAATCCGTGAACATGATATACCTCCTGATCCACTTAGGTTATTTAAATTTGTCTCTAGCAACATCTTGTTGGTCTTGCACATCTTTTGTTAGATTAAGACTTAAGTTAATTTTACGCTAGTGTAAATGACATTTAAAAAAAATTTTCAAAGCCAGGCATGTTGGCACACGCATTTATCCCTGCACTTGGGAGGCTTTGGGAGGAGGATCAGGGATTCGAGGCCATCCTGAGCTAGGTAGTGAGCCCCTGCCTCAGAATTTTTGCTTCCCTCCCTCCCTCCTTTCTTCTTTTCCTCCCTCTCTCCCTCCCTCCCTTTCCTTCCATCCTTCCTTTTTTTTTTTTTTTGGCAGTACTGGAGATTGGATCCAGGGCATCATGCTTGCTAGGCAAGTGCTCTACCACTTCACTTGAATCATGCCCCAGCCCCCAATTATTTAGTTCTAATGCATATAAATACAACTGAAAGCAGGGGAAAGAATAATAATAATGGAGGGGATGAAGCAAACCAGGGTACAATGTATACATATATAGAAATGTCATAATGATATACCCTCTGTGTACAACTAATATACACTAATAAAAGTTTTTAAAAACTGAAATTTTAATGATCTTTATTCCTTCAGAATATATATACATGCCATCTGCAAATGATTTTTTTTTTTTTTTGGTGATACTAAGGTTTGAACTCAGGGCCTCACACTTGCTAGTAGGTGCTCTACCACTTGAGCCACTCCACCAGCCCTTTTTTGTGTTGGGTATTTTCAAGATAAAGTCTCCAGAACTATTTGCATGGGCTAGCTTCGAATCATGATTCTCCTGGTCTCTGCTCCTGAGTAGCTAGGAAATGATTTTTTTTCTGTTCAACCATTAAACCTTTTGTTTCTCTTGTCTTACTGCTGTAGGTGAAATCTCCAGTAAAATGTTAAACATGAATGGAACATGCAAGATAGCTAGGACACTATTAAAAGACCAAACTTACAAATCATGGACATAGAAGGAGAAGGGATATAAGGTAAAGGGATAGAAAACTATATTTAATAAAATAATAAGAGAAAATTCCCCAATCTTGAGAAAGAGATAGCATACAGACACAGGAGCCTTTTTGGATACCCAACAGACAAGAAAAGAACCAATCCAAGATATATTATAGTTAAAGTGATAAAGACACAGAACAAGAAAAAAACACTGCAAACTGCAAGAGAGAAGCACCAAATCACAAATACAGGCAAAGCCATCAGAATAACAGAATTCTCAACAGAAACTCTAAGAACAAGGAGGGCATGGAACTATGTATTTCAAGCCCTGAAAGAAAGTAACTACCAACCTAGATTACTCTACCAAGCAAAGCTATCCTTCATAATTGAAGGAGAAATAACAACCTTCCATGACAAACAAAAATAAAGGAATTTATGACCACTAAACTAGCACTGTAAAAGACACTCAAAGGAACTGTACACACAAAAGAAGAAACAAACAAGAAAATATGGGAAAGAGTGAATCTCAATGGTTGAGTTTCACAAGCAAATGAGTATTAGGAAAGAACCAAACTTTACAAAAATTGATAGGAATTATTACATAGCTCT